GACAGAAGGCATAAAGAATATGAGGTTAGCCACATCTTGCTCAAGCAAAGACTCCTTTTTTTCTACCAAGTGATTGAAAGACCTTTGTTATTTTGTTGAAGCAAAGATTGTACTTAGAAGTTCAGGATTCTCTAAGATTAGTCTACAATTCTAGAGTTTGATGCTTGGAGAACTGGCAAGAATAGGACAACAGCCAACCTCAGGACCAGAAAACTGCCTATTAACTGAATGACTGTCACTATGGTGTCCCTAACAACATAGGAGACAAAGTCCAAGAGAATGCCATCAGGTGGTTTCTTACACTGGACTAGGATCTATGTGGAAGCCAACCAAAGGGTGAGTGGAGAAAAAAAAAACAAGCGATAAAAAAGAGTAGAGAAGAAGCTTCCCTTCAAATATACTTGAAAGCTATGAATTGCATACGGATTACATGCCTTAATCCAGGAATTATACATGGATTGCATGCTTTAATCCAGGAATTGTACGTGGATTGCATGCCTTAATCCAGGAATTGTACTAGATTGCATGCCTTAATCCAGGAATTGTACATGGATTGCATGCCTTAATCCAGGAATTGTACATGGATTGCATGCCTATAATCCAGGAATTGTATTTGGATTACATGCCTTAATCGAGGAATTGTACATGGATTACATGCCTGTAATCCTAGCACTCTTAGGAAGCTGAGACAGCAGGATACCCACACCTTTGAGGCCAATCTGGTCTGTATAGTGAGTTTAAGGTTAATCAGGACTAAATGGCAAAGACTCTGTCTCAGTTGTAATAGTGGTGATAAATAATAGTAATAACAGTAGTAATAATAATCTACTTGTAAAAAAAACAACAAAATATATGAAGAAACTGAAAGTTGAAGAAATATCAATACAATTTGGTTCACAACTGAAGGCAAGGACTGTTCCTCAATCTGTCAGTTGCCAATAGTTAAAAGTAGGGAGGACCAGGGCCAGGAGCCCCTCCCTGATCCGTGATTGGCTGTTGGCAGGCCCACTGCAGCTACCACAGCTGCTGTGAGATTGTTGCAGTAACTATGGCATGCCTGAAAAGTAACATTTGCCAGCCCTTCTTCCTGTCGTCTGGTTCTTACATTCCTTCTGCTCTCTCTTCTCCAGTATTCTCTAGGCTTCGAGAGGATGTAGAAATGTCCTGTTTAGGGCTAAGAACTCAACGATCATTTATTCTAAGCATTGAACTTCCATGAGTCTTTGCATTCTTCATAGTTCACTGGAAAGGAAAACTTAAGGTTGAGAGTACCGTTTACCTATAGGTATACACATTAATATTTAGGGTTCAGATTGGTACCGTGATATGTCCAAACCAGTGGCCACACAGATGATCCTGGTTAAAATCACTGAGGCACAAAACAAAATAAAGCAAAAGGGATTAATATGGGAAGAAGAGCTGTGGGGAAGAGTGAGGGTTGACAGAGATAAAAGAAGAGAGGAAATGAAGTAGACATGATGTACTAAGTATGTGTGTGAAATTGTCATAAACAAATTGAATGAATAAAAAGGAATAAATAAAAGATAAAGGGCAAGGGATCTGAATATTAGCTCATTATTAGAGAAAGAGCCTAAGGAAAGCAACAAGATTGGTATCCAGAGTGTGTAAAAATATTCCAGTAAGAAAGACAAATAACTGAGTTCCCAAATTAGCAAACAACACAAAAAGGCTATTCACAAAAGATGAAACAAATAGCCAACAAAATATTCCACATCAGCTAAGGAAGTGCAGATTAAATTCATGATCAAAACAGCACTTGTACTAATTAGGTTGGCCAAAGTCAACACGTTGACAAAACCAAGTGGGAAAAAGTTGTAGAGAAACAAGAATTTTCGTGTTTCTGTTGAGAATGCAAATTGGGACTGCTCTTCAAGAGAGCCCAGAAATTCTTGTACACTTCCCGGGAGATATGCACAAAACAATTCATTATAGCACTGATTGTGAAAAGTTAGAAATGTGCTAAGTATTCCTCCAGAGGGAATAAATACACATTCCTATAACAGAATGCTTCTCTAGAGAAGATGTATAAGCCAAAGCAACCTGAAGAAACCTTTAAATATGTTTCTTTGAGTCAGAGATGGCCAGTGACCCAAACAGAACCATTTGTATAAACATAGTACCTTCCAATTTATGAATATACATGTTTGTATGAAGTAAAATATGAAAAAGTAATGTAGAAATACCCAAGTCAGCATGGTACTCTCCCAAGAGGAAGAAAAGGGGTGGGACATGCGAAAGAGCATCACCTGTAATCGTTAGGCTTTATTCTGTATGTATGGAATATGTATGTACCTGTCTGTGGTTTGCATAGGTGAACGCAGGTGTGCATGCCCATGTGTGCATGCGGAAGCCAGAGGTCATTAGCAGGTGTCTTTCATAACCACTTTAAAATTTTAACAGGGTCTCTCACTAAACCAGGAGCTCAGTTGGTTCATTCATCTACATGTCCAGCCAGTAAGCACCAGGACCCTCTGTCTCCACCTCCCCCAATGCGGGGATTACAGGAGAATGCCTCCATATTCAGCTTTTGATTTTTTGTGGGTACTGGGGATCAAACTCAAATTCTCATACTTGCAGGACACTTTAGCAACTGAGTCATATTCCCAATCACTGTTATGTTTTATTTTCTTAAAATAAAAATTTGAATGCAAAATATCAAAGTAACTTATTCAAAATGTTCATATCATTATTACTCAGATTAAATAACTGGATGTATGCTTCTAAAACAGTAATTGTTTTCACATACATATACTCATGCATGCATGCTTAGGCACCCAAAATACATGTGCACATGTACTCACATCTGTACCCACACATATAACCCATGCACACACAACAAATAACTTACAAAATTAAAGAAATTGATTATTTTCTTCTCTGCTACACAGCCACATGCTCAGGTCTTCTCATCTTAGTTCTGAAAGTTCTGTGGCCCGCTGCTCGTTTGCAGAGGTTGAATCTGCATATAATTGGCATTTAATAAATGTTTGCTTATGAGACCCAGAAGGTTAACATCGGCCCAAGTGATTCATATTGTGTCTGGCCCCAGCTGTCACAGAATACCTGATGGGACACTGTCTTCCAAAACTAGAGTCTGCTCACAGAGCTGACCCCTCCCCAGATTGCTCTCGGCCCGGTGTTGTAATCTGTGGGTAGAACGTGGGCCAGTTCCTCAGTGTGGGGAAAAAGACGAACCGCTATTTCTACCACTCCCGCTACCTTGGCTCTTGGTTCTGTCCCTAGCCACTCGCTGCACTATAAATAATGATGACCACACCTTTCTTTCTGCCTCCCTTTACCTCCAGCCGTTCTGCACCTCACCGTCTGCATCTGCCTTGCTGGCCAGGTAAGTCTTGATAAGGTCCAGATCTGACGGGAAGCCCGGTCCTGGCAAGCACTTGCTAGGCGCTCAGTGGAGCGTTTCAAGTATTCTCCAGATACTACCTGTCTTGTTTCAGGCGTGTAATAAGTCTGCGCCGTTGTTGCCTCTGGTTTACATGTGAGATGCAGGAGGGGCGTGCTTTAATCTGTAGCGTTTTCCACTATACATCAGTGTGGCACAACCATGAGGTTTACGGCAAAAGTCCTGTCCTAACTGCCTGCGTCATAAGAAGGGTTAGCAAATGTCTGTTGAATGGATGAAGGAGCAGCTGTTACTGCTGTGTACCATGTGGGTAGCGAAGTTTGAGTCCCCGGAGTAACAGAAAACGTAAGTATGCCAGGAACCTTGCTGTGTGCCTAGTGGTCACTGCTATCAACTCTATGACTTTCCTTCCACTTCCTATTTCCTGATTCCACAGCCAAGATGACTGTCTGAATATCTCTAAAAGGTCATAAGGAATTATTCTGTAATACTTGAAATGTTATGCTCAGAAAGGTCAAACATTATTTTTTGGTATGAAGTGTCATACCAATTTTTTTTCTCTCTCTCTAACTGAGCACTTTTTTTTTCTTTAAAAAAAAAAGATGGCAGGAAATTTAGAGCAGGGCTCCCTCTTGAGGAAATTTACAACAGAGCTCCCTCTTGAGGAAATTTACAACAGCGCTCCCTCTTGAGAAAATTTACAACAGGGCGCCCTCTTGAGGATCTTTCATGTATTAGAGTTGATACAGTAAAATAGGCAAGTCTTGGGAGCTGAAAAAAAAAAGCTGGAATCAATGAAGCTTTCAAAAGAGCCAATACCAGTTATTTGAGAATTAAGCTCTTCATTGATCTGATCTCACAAGCAGCTGTAAATAAGAATTTTTAAGTGAAAACAGAAATACAGGAGCTATTTCATTTCTTCATGCCCAGTACATCATATAATTTACTTATATTTATCAAGTACTTGGTTTGTACCGGGGACTACACGGGTACGGTAGTCAATGAAGCATAGTCTTTCTCTGAGGCTTCCTGTCTGTTGTCTGTGAGGGGCATGACAGTAAAGAGATCGTAGAAAGAGTGTGTGTTATAGAAATCCAATGAACCCTGTTGGGGCAGCCAGTCAGCACCATACATATTGATGCTACTAGATAGTAATTTGGAAAATACACACAACCATAAAATATACAAAATTAACCCCCCAATTTGGCTCTTGGTAATTTACTTTTGTGATAGGGAGAAAACTGAGTATAAAACAATGTATATTGAAGCATTTTCTATAATAGATATTTATAATTTAAGGCTTTATTGTCTGCATGTCCAGCAATAATAGACTAACATTCTAAACACCTAACAATAACAACTTGGCTAAATAAAACATGTTACATCACCCAATAAGTGCTGGCCAGCCACGTGTAAGTTATGTGTGTGTTCAAACGTGATCAAGAGAAAAAAGAAAACATAAAGCAACCACTATCTTAGTGTGGTGATATTATAATTTTTCCTTTTATTAACTTTTCTGCATGGTATACTCTGTGAAGGTGGTTAAAATACTGAAAACATTTCGAACTGGTCACAAAGTAAATTCTTAATCTCTCCTTTTCTTGCTTTCATCTAGGGAAATTACCGCTTTATGAAACTCTTGCTTACGCGCAGAGCAAACTGGATGCAGAAGGATCTAGAAGAGATGACACCGTTGCACCTGACTACCCGGCACAAGAGCCCCAAATGTCTAGCCCTTCTGCTGAAGTTCATGGCCCCTGGGGAGGTGGATACGCAGGACAAAAACAAGGTAATGGGCAGTCAGGGTCAGACAGGTGAAAAAGAAAGAGCGTACATTGCCACCATCCCTGGGGGAGGGCAGCTCCATGCGTCCAGACATCCCAGCATCTTCTAAAGGTCTACCGTTACCCTGCTAGCCACCACATGGTAGGTAGGATCACCCTTTGAAGGGTGGAGAATCTGAACCTTAAGAGGATTAAACTTTGCCCAAGATTCAAGTGACAAAGCTAGAATCCAAACCCAGGCCTGTTTAACTGTAAAAAATTTTCTGACATTTGTCAGAAACTCACCACAGTCCCTGTGGGCACCTGGACTCACAGTGACACCTTCCCATGCACGGACTAGACACAGAGCATCTGGACTCATGGCGGCTGTCTGCCCATGCAGTGGGCTAAACACGTAATGGCTTTCAAAACTGCACTGTTGACAGCAGCCTCCTGGGACTCTAATCCAAAAGCCGCCACTTACTCCATCCGCTTATGTCATGGTTTTAGAATGCATGGAAAAGGTAACTGAAGGGAAAATGAGAAGGTGCAGACTAATTGCTTAGCACAGTGCCTCATGCAGGATGCACTCCTCAAGAGTGTTTATCATGAACAATTACTAATAGCGTTTCCGCTCTGACATCTGCCTTCTCACCTCTGCTAGGAATTTTTTTAACTGTCCTTGCTCTTAAATTTAAAAAGTTGTTCAAGCTGATCATAGCTTTGCTTATCCTTCTTTACAGGAAAAAAGTGTGGTCATTTGGTAGACACAGGCAGTAATCTTTTTCTTTCCACTGTGGGCTGGGCCATAGTCTTGTTAACACCGATGACCCCGTGGGTTTAAAATCCTTACGAAAATTATTCTTGCTGCTATTAGTTTTTAAAGATTTCCTAAATGTGTGTGTGTGTGAGAGAGAGAGAGAGAGAGAGAGAGAGAGAGAGAGAGAGAGAGAGAGTGTTTATGTGTCCATGTGATCGCAGGTGCCTTTGGAGGCAGGAGAGTGTCAGATACTCTGGGCCAGGCTAACAGGTCACTGTGACCCACCTGATGTGGGTGCTGGGCACTTGTGACTGGTCCCCTGCGAGGGGGCGGGCACTTGTGACTGCTGAGCCATCTCTCTAGCCTTCTCTGTCCTCTTTTGCTGCCACTGTTCTCCGTGTAGGTTCGACTTCTCTCTAGCAGTCAGCTGCAAGATCAACTCTTACTTCGCAGCCATGCATTAATGTGTCCCCACTCACAGAAGCTGAGTGACAGCATTTTGCTAAATGATCAATTATATTTTATGCATATCGTACTACAGCAAAAATAAATAGAAAATAAAAAACAAAAGTGTACAAGATGTAAGTAGAAACCATTTAGTCTTGGGCTAAAGTCTTATATTTGAGTGCACATAACCTGTACAATCATAACCTAGGAAAAGGACAGAATTACAGATGCCATCCGTGTTTATTAAAAAGGTGGTAATAATCAATTAATGTTAAGTATGATTTTTCTGTGACCGTCAGTCGCTACTAAAAATAGCAATGAGTTGGGGCTGGGGAGATGGCTCAGCACTCAAGAGCACTCGATGCTCTTACAAAGGGTCAGAGCTCTGTTCCCAGCACCACACCAGGCAGCTCACAGCAGCCTGTAATTCTAGCTCCAAGGGATCCAGCACTCTGCTCCGACCTCCTGGAGTTCACAGAGCTCACAAAGTAAATAAATATAAAATGAGTCTTTTAGAAAATAATGTGTTAATGATGACTTCATAATATAATAAAGGCCTATAAATGAACTTTGAATGAATACCATGGATGTTAGTTTTTTTAAATTTTCATAGCAAATGAGCTTGGTTCCCGCTCATTAAATTATCCAATTTCGGATGCATTGCTGAGTGACAGAGAGGATGTGATGTACACCCAAGCATCTCTGAGTCTTCCATGGTGACTCTCCCCATAGGAGGCATGTTAATAGCAGTGGTAAAGGTAGTTTTCAAGCAATTTCACTGCATCCAGAATTACCACCTTAAGCTTTTATTTCAAATAAAGAAAATGCATGTATAGTTCTTACAGTATCTTTTCATTAGTAGCTACATTTAGCTATTAACATATAAAATTATTCTTAAATGTAAATGTGCTATGCTGAAGAATCCCAGATATGTGAGCGCCTGTGGCAGACTCTCTGTAAACATGAAAACTGGCTGGCCCTGAGCTTTTTTTTATGGTGGGAGACTTTTAACAGCTGCTTCTAATTCACTAGGGTTATAGGTCTACTTAAACTGATTATCTGATGTTGATTTAACTTTGGTAAGTGCTATCTATTGTGAAAATTATCCATTTCATTTAGATTTCTCAATTTTGCGGAATACTGGTTTTTTTTTTAAGTATGACCTAATGATTCTCTGGATTTCCTCACTGTCTGTTGTTATGTCCCCTTTTGCTTCTGATTTTGTTAATTTGCATGTTCTCTTCATCTTTTAGTTAGTTTGGATAAGGGTTTGTCTATCTTGTTTATTTTCTCAAAGAAACAACTCTGTTTCATTGATTGTTTGTATTGCTCTCTAGTTTCTATTTGATTGATTTCAGCCTTGAGTTTGCTTTTTTCATGATGTCTACTCCTCTCGGGTGAGCTTGCTTCTTTTTGTCCTAGGACTTTCAGGTGTGCTGCCACGTTGCTAGTCTGAGAACTCTCCAGTGTCTTTATGCAGGCACTTAGTACTATGAACTTTCCCCCTAGCACTGTATTCATTGTGTCCTGTAACTTTAGGTGTGCTGTGCATTCCTTTTCATTGAGTTCTAGGAAGCCTTTAATTTCTTTCTCTGTGTCTGCCTTGACCAAGCAGTCATTCAGAAGAGTGTTGTTCAGTTTCCATGAGTTTATAGGTGTTATGTTGTTTTTATTGTTGTTGAAATCCAGTTTTAGTCCATGGTGGTCTGATAGGATGCAAGGAGTTGTTTCAATTTTATTTTATCTGTTGAGACTTGCTTTGTGACAGAATATATGATTAGTTTTGGAGAATGTTCCATGAGATGCTGAGAAGAAGGTATATTCTTTTTCTTTCCTTTTTTCTTTTGGTTTTCGAGACAGGGTTTCTCTGTGTAGCTTTGGAGCCTGGCCTGGCACTCTCTCGGTAGACCAGGCTGGCCTCAACCTCACAGAGATCCGCCTGCCTCTGCCTCCTGAGTGCTGGGATTAAAGGCTGTGCCACCATCGCCTGACAGAAGGTATATTCTTTATGTTTGGGGGAAATGTTTGTGTGTATCTATTAGGTCCATTTGGTTCATAACATCAGTATTTCTCTGTTTGGTTTTTGTTTGGATGACCAGTCCACTGAGAGTTGTGTACTGAAGTCTCTCGGTATCAGTGTGTGAGGGATCAGTGTGATTTAAACTTTAGTAGTGTTTCCCTTACAAACATGGCTGCTCGTTTGGGCATGGATGTTCAAAATTGAAAGCTGTCTTGGGTCTTTCCTCTGATGAGTATGAAGTGTCCTTCTCCATCATGTTTGATTTGTTTTTGTTTGACGTCTATGTTGTTAGATATTAGAATGGCTACATGTTTGTTTCTTAGGCCCATTTACTTAGGAAATCTTTTTCCAACCCTTTACTCTGAGGTAGTGTCTATATTTTATATTGAAGTGTATTTCTCATGTGCTACAAAAAGAGGGATCCTGTTTTTGCATCCATTCTGTTAGTGTGTGTCTTTTTATTAGAGAATGGAGTTCATTGATATTGAGAGATATTAATGACTGCTGATTGTCAATTACTGTTATTTTACTGGTGGTGGTGGTGTGTGTGTGTGAGTGTAAGTGTGTGTGTGAGTGTGTGTGTGAGTGTATGAGTATATGTGTGTGAGTGTGTGTGTGTGTGTGTGTGTGTGTGCTTACCTTCTTTGGTTTTACTGGAATAGGGTTATTTCCTCTGTTTTTATGGGTGTAGCTGACCTCCTTGGGTTGGAGGTTTCTTTTTAGCACCTTCTGTAGGACTGGATTTGTAGATATTGTTTAAATTTGACTTTATCATGGAATATCTTTTCTCCATATATGGAGATTGACAGTTTTGCTGGGTGTAGTAGTCTTAGAATCTGCTGTCCAGACCTTCTGGCTTTTAAAGTTTCTACTGAAAAGTCGGGTGTTATTCTGATGGGTTTACCTTTATATAGTACTTGCTCTTTTTCCCTTGGTGCTTTTAACATCCTTTCTTTGTTCTGTATGTTTAGTGTTTTGATTATTGTATGGTGAGGGGACTTTCTCTTCTGGTTCAGTCGATTTTGTGTTCTATGCTTCTTGTACCTCTGTAAGTTCCTTCTTTTTTTATTTGTTTTTTGAGACAGGGTTTCTCTGTGGCTTTGGAGACTGCCCTGGAACTAGCTCTTATAGGCATTCCTTCTTTGGGTTAGGAAATTTTTCTTCTATGATTTTGTTTTTTAAAAAATCTGTTCCTTTGAGCTGGGATTCTTCTCCTTTTTCTATTCCTGTTATTCTTGGGTATTATTTTTTCACAGTGCCCCAGATTTTCTGGATATTTTGTGTCAGGAATTTTTGATTTAACATTTTCTTTGACCAATGTTTCTATTTCTTCTATTGTATTTTCAGTGCCTAGATTCTTTCTTCCATCTCTTGTATTCTGTGTTGCTTGTATCTGTAGTTCCTATTTGCTTACATAAATTTTACATCTTCAGAATTCCCTAGGTTAGTGTTTTCTTTATTGCTTCTATTTTCATTTTCAAGTCATTATTCATTTCCTTCAACTGTTTGTTTTTCCCTGGCTTTCTTTAAGGGATTTATTCACTGTCTCCAGTTTTTTGTGTGTCATTTCCTCAATTTCTTTAAAGGATTTATTCATTTCCTCTTTAAGGACCTTTGTCATATTTATAAAGTGTGTTTTAAGGTTGTTTTCTTGTGTGCCACTGTGTTACAGGTCTGATTTCTGAGTTTGTCCTTGTTGTTTTATCCATTGGTTTCTGTTTCCTCTCTGGTCTTTAGGCCTGAGTGAGTGCCTGTGGTTGGGTAAAGGGTCTCTAACTGAGTTGGGGGATAGAATTCTGGCATGTGGTGGTGCAGGGTGCTTCCTCTGGAGTAGTGGGCCTAGATATGGTGATGAGGAGAGGGTGGCTGTTGGGGACAGGCTGGATGGGTTCTGGTGGTCTGCAGGAGGGAGTCTTATCTGGGGTTTTGGGTGCCGGTATGACCCTGGTAAGTAAAGGAGCACTTCTGCTGGAGCTGCGGGCTGGAATATGGTAACAAGGAGGGAGGCTGCTGATGGTTGACTGGGCAGGCTCTGAGAGAATGTCTAGCTCTTAAACCGGGCCTGTCACACAGTAGATGTTCTAGAAGAGTAGGATGCTGAGGTTGTCTTTTTTATTACCTCACTACCTTGCAGCAAACAGCTTTGCACTGGAGCGCCTACTACAACAACCCAGAGCATGCGAAGCTGCTCATCAAGCATGACTCCAATATCGGGATCCCTGACACGGAAGGCAAGATCCCACTCCACTGGGCAGCCAACCATAAAGACCCAAGCGCTGTGCACACAGTGAGATGCATCCTGGTAGGTAGAATGCTGTGCTGGACCCCAAGGCCCTTTTAGCAAAAAAAAATCTAATAGGTACAAAAGCACTGATGTGAGAGACAGGAGACTACGAAGCACGAACATCAACATGCGGACTCCTCATCCCCTGAGAGACAGAGCATCAGCGTAACTGTGCTCCACACTGAGGAAGCTCCCTGTGACCCACTCCCCCACCACCAATCACTCCCACGGTTCTTACTTCTCATTCTCTGCTCTGTTTTGTACATTTTTTGATCCTTTAAATTTTAATTTTTGTGTATGAGTGTGTATGCTTGTGAATGTGCGTATGTACGGGGTTTTGTGTGTGTGTGTGTGTGTGTGTGTGTGTGTGTGTGTGATGAACACGCTTTAGTACTCAGGTGTACACACCCATGGGTGTCTATACCAAGGCCAAAACAAGGCAGTATGGCTCCTCCTCTAGCTCTCTCTCCTGTGACCCTGAGGCAGGCTCTCACACTGAGCCTGAAACTCGCAGCTTCAGCTTAGCTCTCAGGATCTAAGTGTCTCTGCCCCCAGTGCCCGGCTCACAAGCACTCACAGCCAGGCTCGGCCTTTTATAAGGGTGCTGGGAACTAACCAAAATGCTTCCCCAGTCCCCTGCTGACTTCTAATGTACAAATCAGACTTTAAAACATATTCTCTTGTGTATGCAATGGTTACTGTACACATTCACTAACTCCTTTGTCTACATTTTTCTTTTTGTATATGTATGTGTGATATGCACGCACACATTGACAGTGTGTTGATATGGGTGTGAGGGTGCATGTTCATGTGTGTCTTCTTCCATCATCATTTTCCACTTTACTGACTGAGGCAGGGTCTGTTGTGGAAGCCCCAGCTCACTGGTGGGGCTCATCTAGCTAGCCAGGGAGGGAAGAGAGCATAGTGAGGGAATACTGAACCAAAGCAAGACCAGAAACCAGCAGGGCAAGCTCCAAACCCTATGTCTCCAGGTCTGGTGTGAAAGTGCTCTCAGACCCCCAGCTGCTTTCAGCTCTGTAGACTGCAGCACACTTCTCTGCGGCCGTTCCCTCAAGTGACAAGCATGCTACCCACTGAGCCATCGCCTAGCATCATTCCACCTTGAACCTCACATTTTCCTTAGCACTCCTCAGTTCCTGGTATATCATCCTTAGAACTTTCACTTGTATAGAAATAGTGATGGTAATCTGTTGTTTTCTTTTCATTCTGTGACAGAGCCTCGTGTACTTAAGGTCAGCATCAGACTCACTATATAGCTGAAGATGACCTCGAACTTCTGACCCTCCTGCCTCAACCCCTCAAGAGCTGCAATTACAAGCCCTGTGCTGCCGACACCTAATTTATGTGGTGCCGGGCATCACACACAGGGAGCAGGGTGTTGTACACACTAGGCAGGCACTCTACAAACTGAGCTCAACTCCAGTCAGAACTGTGTTTGAAGTGTTAAGAATGTCTCTATGGTTTTTCTTTTTTAAAATTAGAATATAACTGCATCCTCCCCTCCCCTTTCCCCCCTCCCGTGCTTCCCAGGCATCCCCACCTGGCCTCCTGCTTTCTCAGGAGACCTTCGCTTCTCTAACTGCTGCTGTCTTGCTCTTGAGAACTGGTTTTCTTTGTCCACAGTCCTACACACTTAGTTTTCTATTCTTCGTTTTATACCGTTTTTGCTACTTTCTGCCTTTTTTCATGGTTCTTGCAAGTCAAGTCTGTTGCTGTCTTAATGGTCAATCCTTTGGAAGGATTTTCATTTGATATTCTTACAGTTCCATTGCAGTGGGTCTAAAATTTTAGAATTAAAAAAAAAATCCTGTTTGCTGGACAGGGTAGAACATGCCTGTGGTCCTAGCATGTGGGTGGTAGACAGGAAGATCAGGGGTTCATAGTGAGTTCCAAACAGCCTGAGCTCGAAAACCCTCTCTCAATAAAATTAAATAAACAAATAAATCCTTCTTGAAGCTGGGCACAGTGTTGCATTCCTGCAGTTCCAACATTCAGGAGGCCAAAGCAAAGATCCTGAGTTCAAGTCCAGCGTGCACTATATAGCTAGACCTGTCTCAGAACGATAATAGGGCCAGCAAGATGGCTCACTGGATAAAGGCAACTTGCCAAGCCTGAGGACCTGAGTTGGGTCTCTGAGAACCCACATATATATAGAAGAAGAGAACTGAGTCCCACAGGTGTCCTCTGATCTCCATACGTGCACTGTGGCACACAATACATAATATATGCATAAATTCATGCACACATACAATGAATGTAAAAAAACAAAAGTTCCATTTGCTTTATATTCTGATTATTGAATCTTTTAGAAAACAAATAGATATTACATGTTTGCTTTTCTCTACTGTTGCCTTTTGTGTCTCCAGTTAAACGTATTTGGGGCTTTTTCATTTCATTCATCATGTCTCCTAATTTCCTGTTATATTCTCATGTTTGTTTCTCAGTTTACTAAGTCTCTCTTCAGCCGAGTCTAGTCTGTTGTTTTTCCTGTCCATGGATCATTTAATCTTAGTAATTGTACTCTTCACCTCTGGAAGCCCATTTGGTGTGTTCATACCATCCTGGTCATTGTGGTGATTTTTATTTCTGCTCACTTTCACAACTTTTGAGAACCTAGGCATGGCCAACCTTTATGCTATTGCCATCTAAAGGTTAATGATCAAGAACCTTGCAGTTGAGTTGCAACAGATAAATAAATAAATAAATAAATAAATAATCTCTTGAGGTTTTAAGTAAACATACTTTTATTTGGGGGGGGGCTGGCTACATCTGTAGCTGTCCTAGGGTAAAGGCAGTCCGTGGCTCCAGGCTGGACACACCTCAGGTCCTTTGTTGGTGAAATGAGCTGACTTCATAAGGAGCTATAAATCCAGGATGGTCCTTCAGTAGTCAAACTGAAGCAACAGAACTTGGCTCTAGGTGTGACCTAACCTGAGAAGGAATTCTGGGTGAAGAAACTCCTTAGTTGAAGCTGTTCCAAGAAACAGAGACATGAGGGTCCTGGGCTGGTAGTGTCCCTGGCAGCTTGGAAATAAGGATTTTAATTCAAAAAGAGACTTAAGATGTATATTATAATGTCTGTTGCAAAGATCCAGTCAAAGAATGAGTAAGTTTGGTGAACTGTCGACTTACAGAGAAAGCAAACTGAATACCATAAACAGAGGCGTACATTTTTTTCAGCCTCATTCATAAAAGCACTTTAAATTAAACATCAGGGAAATGTCTTTCAGCCTCATTCTAGGAATAGCATGTAGGAAGCTTGACAATACCAAGTGATTAATCCGTGCCTGCATGTGGGGAATAAACACTTTGCATATTATCACAGGTGTGTTCGTTGGTCCAAGCGTTTGGAGAGTGGCTTGACAGTATTCAGTGGAAGGTGCAAAACTCCTTCAGCCAGCAGTGCCTCATTCCATGTGTGGCAAAGAGCGAAATATCACACATTGTGTTGCATGAAGTATGTGAGGAAGACAGTCTTTGCAACATTATTTGTGATTGTGAAAAAAGGTGGAAATAACCTAACTGCCCCTCAGGAGAAAAATGGACAGCTAAGTCCCAGTTTAACAAATGAACTAGAACAGAGGTACTCACAAGTGTGGTGTAGGAAGGAAGAGTTGCCAAAGAGATTACATGTGTGCTTCCACCATGTAAATATTCAAAGCACATGTGCAAAATGTATGTTTATGGATTACTACATGTGTATATAAGTAAAAAATAAATAACCCACAGCTTTAGCCTAATTCATAATAGACACCAAAGCACATTAGGAAAAGTGTCACACGTTTTAATGCAAGCATGGTGGTTACTCTCTTCTGTATTTTTGTATTATTAATAAATAGGAAAGTTAACTGTTAAAGGTTTAGCCCATATACTCGATGCATCGTTTTATTTGTGCCCATAGGGAATGTGGAGGTTTGGTTTTAAGAAATAGTTAATGTGCATGTCACATACAATCTATTGAGGACCCCACATGTGTCTGAAGCCTCTGGCTCTGACAATAGGAAGCTGCCCCAACTGAGTCTCTGTTGAACTGGCAAGACTACGAGGGCCGCACGCCTCTTCACTTCGCAGTGGCCGACGGGAACCTGACGGTCGTGGACATCTTGACCTCCTACGAAAGCTGCAACATAACATCGTACGACAACTTATTTCGAACGCCACTTCACTGGGCAGCCTTACTAGGTATGTTCTGCTGTAAGTCAGAGGATCAATGGTAGGGATCAAAGTCCTGTGCCTCCACATCTCCTGTGGGCTCCTCCTCCTGTTTAAACATTTTCATAGCAGATTGATATGCTCGATTATTTCATAACCTGCCTCCTTCTGTTGCATGCTTTAAAAGTGATAATATAAGCTAATTCTCTATTAAATACTATACTGGTTTTTATTTCAACCTTATGTCATAAGTTTTTAGCTTTTATTATAAAGGAATGAAAATTCATTGGCAAGATGTGAATATAATGTAGCCTATCTTCACATTCTTGGCTATTATGTGGGCAAAGGAGAGCATTCATTTGATGCCTGTATTCAGTCCTTGATACTTGAATTTTTTCTTCATATCTACCTTGTAACCTTTCAGGGATCACTCTTTTAATGAGAGAGCAAGCACTTGTCTAATATGTATGGTTGTGTCAGATTGTTTGAAGGAGTACAAGGTGGGGATTTTTTCTTTTATGAAGTAGTTTAACCACGTATAGTCATTATTAAAAGCAATATCTTACTAATGTGGTATTATTAGCATTTCCAGGGTTTTCCTCATCTTTCCCTGCCCCCTGTTTCTTCCTTCTACCACACGCAGTACCCATGCTGTCTGTCGCCTCTCAGCCCTGGCCTGCCTGGGGTTTCAGGTGGCGATGTAGGTTCAGTTGTGGTGACTTTTCAGTTTCTCAAAGCCGTGCTTATCCGTGAGTCAGAGTAAACAGCAAGGCCTCCCCCACACGGGGCCAGCTGCGCCCTTTCTCCTCTGCACTCCTCTGATGTTTGCTAGCAGCCTGAGGGGCCACTCAGTTGTTAATGTCTTGGTCTTAGTGTTAAGTTGCACACCATCCATTTGAAATCGATTGTCATGCATGCATACAGCTTTTATGTCAGATTTGTAATTATTATTTAGACTTCCTTTCAAAGTGTGTTTCATCCCTTTTCTTTTTCCTCTAGAAAAAGAAATTTGTTTGTGCTTCACTAAATTCACTTCATTCTGTAACTTCTGACTTTATTACTCCTACTACATCGGTTCTCATTTCAATGTATCCCGTCTTCCTCCTATTTTTCTTTCTAACCTCATTTTATTTCCTTTTATTCCTCCCATCATCCTTTCCTGTCCTCCCTTTTGTTTCCTAGAGGCCATCTCTTTCTGAACTAAACTGAAGATGCCTAACAGTTTCTCGACTTTGCTCTGGGCCTTCTTGAGACCATCCCTAAGGTATGCTCCTTATCTTTCCAATGCCAGATCTCTTTCCTTGCCCTGTAGTATGTTATCCTCAAGTCTTCACTGAATGTTTCTCTCTGTTCCTCAACCGAAATGAGACGTGTTTAGATTGACACTCTTGCCCGGATTGTCATTGGGCCTGTATCTGGATTAGGAAGCCCCCATCTTAAACCACACGTGCGGAGGGAGCACAAGCCCAGGGTAGACCTCTTTTCCTGGCTTCCACCCAGCACAGCCTTGTTCAAAGGGCTCCTCCACCATGGCACCCTTGCCTTGCCTGGTGCCCACATGCTCTGTTAGAGAGAGGAAAGGCTTTCCCAGGCTTGGTAGCCCTCTGTGTTGTTATGCTGTGCTGTTGTGGTTGCTGAGACGAGATAACCAGAGGATGTCCTAGCCCTTTCTCGTAGTCCAGGCTGCTCTCAGATTTTCAGTCCTCCTACCTGAGCCGTGAAGTGCAGAGTTCACAGGCACTCACAGCCACAGGCAGCTTGTTAGTTCTTTGACACCATGTACAACTCCTCCTTCGTAGAAACCACTACAGACTATCAGCCCGCCACTGCTTCACAATACCTGCTCCCTCTTTTGTGGAATTTGAAATTACTGCCTTCATAGTAAAAGACTAGGGGAGAGACGCTGACAGGGTGGTTAGAAGGTCTCGGAGGCAGAAGAGGGTCATTTCAGTTAGTGCAGCTGAGCAGCAGCAGGGAACTGATGGTCAGTTCTGGTGGACCAGAAAGCAGAGCCTCGACATGATGGCAGAGAAGCCAAGAAGCCCAAGAGACAGCTCCCAAGGCCGGCACTCGCCACCACAGTGCTTTTCCTCTCATGAGGACCCTGTCTCCAGTGTCTGAGACCTCCCCGGCCTTCTGCTCTGTCACAGTGTGCGGGGAGAAGGCAGAAGAGGCTGCACTGAGAACTGTTCAGAGCCGTTTTAACGGCGCCTTGAATGCTAATGATTTTTTTCTTACCTTCCTTCTTTTAAATGGACTAAGAATGGACTCACCCCTTTGTGTGAGATAACTACCTTGTATCTGTTCTCAGGCCACGCACAGATTGTCCATCTCCTTTTAGAAAGAAACAAGTCTGGAACTATCCCTTCCGACAGCCAAGGAGCAACACCCTTGCACTATGCAGCTCAAAGTAACTTTGCTGTAAGTTATGATTCCCTTTTCTCTTAATAAATTTTTTATTTGAATATAATTGTAGATTCTTATGCAGTTACAAGAAATAATACTCCGTGATCCCTTGCCCCCTTCAATCAGCCTATACTAATGATAGGTGGATACAGTACTACAAACAAGAGGTTGACACTGAGCTGGTTCAAATTGTACTGTTTGATGGGCACACGTGTATCTGTGTTGATGGAGTGATTGCTTTTAACCATTGTTCACACTGCCAGCGCCACGATGCAGGTGATGGTCTGTGTTTTTATAAGGTTGTTGGCCACCTGGAAGTTTATGCAGCTTTATTTAAATACTTGGTATAATTTTTTGTGAATGTGCTCCTTCATTCTGTGATTTTTATAGCACTAGGGACATCATAGTGTTCAGAAACCCTGTAATTGTCCTAAAAGCAGTGCGGCAAGGCTTTGGAGCTGGAAAAACAAACTCCTGGAATCCCAACTGTGCAGATTGCTAGCTGTGTGACCTCACACAACTTTCTTACCCTCTCTGAGCTGTGTGACCTCACACAACTTTCTTACCCTCTCTGAGCTGTGTGACCTCACACAACTTCCTTACCCTCTCTGAGCTGTGTGACCTCACACAACTTTCTTACCCTCTCTGAGCTGTGTGACCTCACACAACTTTCTTACCCTCTCTGAGTCTTCACTTCTTCGTAGGTAATATGAGGATAACTATATGTCTTCCTTCAGGACTGCTGGAAAGATTAGAGTGAATTTATTGCAAGTGTCTACTGCACCTGGTGTGGAGCAGGTGTCTGCACAGACCTTATTCTGTGGAGTGTGTACAGATGAGAGCAGGTGTCCACACACAGGTTGCATTCTTACAATTTATGCTAATGATTATTAATTATGTACATCTGAGAAGGCCACAGTGTGAATTATTGTTTCTAGAAACCCTGAGCATTACCTTCCCTGGTCGTCCTTCATGGATCACAAAGTGTGTTCTTGTCCATTGTGTCTGGGATCTCTCTACAGCATGATGGTTCTCAGGCTGACACAGAAACATTAAGAGGCCACAGTTGATTTTCTGTCTTCATCATGGCTTAGGCCGTCATCAATAGTTCTGGCCTGGGAAGAGCCCAGTCCCCAATTATTGACCGCAGTGTTCTGCTGAATGTCTCATTTTCATTCCCTTCTGACTCTCTGAAGAAGCCAGTCTGACCCTGTCTTATCTGCTAGTGGCTCTATTTCCTTTCTTTTAATTAGGTCAGAAACTGATGGGTACCCTTTCTCTGTACATTGTGTGTCTGCTCTCGGGCTGGTCACAGGCTGTCTGTATACTTACAGTTGTTCCTTCTTGGCCTCCCTAAAACTTCACTCAGTGCACCACCTAGAGTTTTAGCAAACCTTTGTCTATTATTGTCTCGGAGAAGTAGTTCTTTCTTATCACAGACAGGAAAGTCATGTGACCCAAGCTGATGGAAATGAAAACTCAGTACATAACTCAACATACCCAGTGAGATGGGTCATGGCACTCTGCTTACAGGCTGAGAGATGAAATGCCCTGCCCTGATCTAGAACCAGATAGCAGACTCCAGCTTCAATACAGATAGCAGTAATTAAACAACATATCAGTGGGAGCAAAAGAAAATGAGGGCACATTACAGATGTTTGATTTACATGGTCTGCCGATTCCAGAGTTGATTTTAATGATTATGTACATTTTCTAAGCTCTATTTCAAGCCCACTGATTACTTTAGCCTCTGTTAACTCCACATAGGCTTGCTATTTTCTTTTTGAAAAACACTAAAAAGCAAACAGAATCAGGAAATATTTGTAAAATTAGGAAGCTGTGTCATGCCTTGGACAGATTGCTAGGATTTCCTGTTTTACTCCTGTCCCTATAGCTGCTGCCAGTATTCATGTGGACACAACCCTATGCTTCTTCCAGGGTAAAACAAGGACTAAATCCTTTAAAGTTATCCTTTTTATTATTGTATGTGGTGGGGGTTGTCTACCGGTATGTGGTGTACCACGTGGCTGCTGGTGCCCTTGGAGGGCAGAGGAGGGCATCAGATCGTGTAGGAGAGTTACTGATGGTCTCAAGCCTCAGTGAGGTGCTGGGAACTGGACCCAGCAGCTAGTGCTCTTGACCGCTGAGCTGGGAACTGGACCCAGCAGCTAGTGCTCTTGACCGCTGAGCTGTCTCGTCAGCCCCTGTTGTTTGTATGAAATATTTAGAGTCAGCTTCAGAAATTCCTTTCTGGAACTCTTCATATTCATTCAAGCAATAGTTTCTTGATCTTCCTAGAAAATTGAGTTTTAAAAAAGAGGTCATTTTCAACACAGGAATATTAACCCAAATACAAGGGCTGGGAGAGACGCTCAGCTACACAGCACTTAAACTTATGGAGAAACATAAGCAAGACCCTGGATCTGAACCCAGCGCAGAAAACTGCAGTAGTAACCCAAACTGCCAGGCACCATTAGAACTGACTGTTCAGGGTGCCCATTTTTCCATTATTCCAGGGGCAGGACCTTGAGTAAGGAATAACTAGTTAAATTTGTTCAAATGAATGGATGCTGTACTTCACAGTAACCTTTGATCATTAATCAACAAATGTATTGACCATTCCATTTGTGGTAATGTAATACACAGAAAGACCATCTGTTTGCCTTCTCTGGAGGCATGTGTGAATACATAGGTTTCTGTGGGTACAGTGTAAAATGAAAATGTTTAACTTAGTGTCGGTCTTGACAACAAATGCTTTTAAGTCTTCTAATTTTCATGTCTAACAGTGCCCTTAGAAATTTTAAAGCTTGGGGCCTGGAGAGATGGCTCAGAGGCTAAGAGTAGTGGCTGCTCTTCCAGAGGTCATGAGTTCAATTCCCAGCAACCACATGGTGGCTCCCAGCCATCAGTAATGAGATCTGGTGCCCTTCTGACTGCAGACAAGCATGTAGGTAGAACGCTGTATAAATAATAAATAAAATCTTTAAATAAAAAAGAAAGAAAGAAAGAAATTTTAAAGCTTGCCGGGCATTAGACTTGAGAGGCAGAGGCAGGCGGATCTCTGTGAGTTCAAGGCCAGCCTGGTCTACAGAGTGAGTTCCAGGACAGGTTCCAAGAGAAACCTGTATTTAAAAACCAAAAATAAAAAAGAAAAGAAAGAAAGAAATTTCAAAGCTTAATTAAAGAAACTCACTCTCCATTTTATTCTTCTCATGTTTTGATTTTTAATTATCTCTTGTTATTTGATAGTCTCACTCCTGATCAAATCTTCTTCCCAGTAACTTCCCTCCCTACTCCATGTGTTCTGTGTGCAGCACACTGGGTTGAAATAGGGTTTTCTGCATGCACGAGAGGTTATCTACTGGAGCATGGGCAATTTGCCATGGTTATACTAATGAAGAGAGTGACACTTGTTCCCCCAGTCACCACTGACTGTCAGTAGTCCCTCAGAGAGGGGCGGGGCCTCACAGGCCCTTCTCCCATCCTGACGAAATGTTGGCAGGCCCAGTCCTGCACTGGCAACCGCAGTTGCAGTGAATTCACACATGCGTCAGCCTTCGTTATGTCCAGAAGACACTACTGGGCAGCAGCCGTGCCCAACCTCTGGCTCTTTCTCCCTCTTCTTGGCCATCATGCCCTGGGGGAGGGGGTCATCATTCCCAAATTTAAGGATGTTGAGTGAGAAAGTCAGATAATGTACTTGAAGTGTTGCAGAAACTAAGAGTAATATACAAGGAATGAAGGTCCTAATTTTCTGTGGAAATTGAGGGTTTATTACTCACTAAAAGGCAGCAGGAGAAACCCTTGGCTTCTGCATGGGCTCACCTCCAGCAGGTGCTTTATTGCCAGGGGGAATGCACCCCACTGCCACAGTGTTTCAAATGAAGGTTTCTTACAGGAAACAGTTAAAGTGTTTTTAAAGCATCCTTCCGTGAAAGATGATTCCGACCTGGAAGGAAGAACATCCTTCATGTGGGCAGCAGGGAAAGGCAGTGATGACGTGCTCAGGACTATGCTGAGTTTAAAATCTGACATCGACATTAACATGGCCGACAAGTACGGAGGCACAGGTAGGAACTGGCACACGGGCTCCAAAGGCTTTATTTCTTCCAAGTATTATGGCTGAAATGAGTATCTCTACCAGGTGGACATCAGCATCTGGTTTATAGCTTGAGCTGTTGTACCTTAGACACAAAGAGAAACTTACTTTATCATTCACTTTCATCTAAAAAAAATGTGTGGAAACTATGCACAGTTGGGGCTCAGTGGATAAAGCCCTCGTCATGCGATCTTGAGGACCAGAAAAGGTGAGTGGACTTAGAGGCCCACCAGTAATTCCTGCGCATGGAAGGTGGAGACAAGGAAACCCAGAGAAAGCTGGTAGATAAAATGGTGACCTCCGGAGTCCGTGAGAGACCCTGCCTCAACATGCAAGTAGAGCACAGTCAAGGAAGACACCAGTGTCAACTCTGGTCCTCAGCACGTGAACACATGCATACTTATGCAAAAAACTGCATATTTAGTAGCTACTAACATTTCAAAATATGTTTTCAGTGATGCAGATATCTAAGTGTATTCTCAAATCTCATTTTGTATGCTCTTTTCTCAAGTTTGAGTAGCATGACTCCATACTGACAGTGCCATGCAAAAGAGAACTTTCCATAACTCTAGAACCTTCCCTGCTTCACGGCCTCCCATCAGTTCTTACCAGACCCTAGCTTTAATTTTTCTCTATTAAAAGAGCCTGTCACTGTGCATTGGTTACTAAGAGGCATGGTTTTTAGCATCCAGTGTGAACATGAAGTCTCTTCTTTGTCTGAAATCCCAATTGCAAGTCAAAATTTCCAGCACAACACTAAGTACAACCAGGCTTCACTATGCACACTCCTATGCATAGCAGCAGGCATATGTCCAGGGGTGGGAGGGCGGGGTTTGGATTGCATTTAGCCACAAGAAGAGGAAAATCCTAAGAGGAAGAAAGAAAAGTGTACTTAAAATGAAAAGGTAAAGCTATTTTGAAGGCGTATCAGTTGGTCCGGCTTCTTTTTTTAGCTTTACATGCTGCTGCACTTTCTGGCCATGTCAGCACCGTGAAGTTATTATTGGACAATGATGCTCAAGTAGATGCTACTGACGTCATGAAACATACTCCACTCTTCCGAGCCTGTGAGATGGGGCACAAAGATGTGATTCAGACACTTATTAAAGGTTAGTTGATACAGTGTATCTCTTAGGTCCTCCACCAAAGGTGGGTACTGTAGCACTCTTGGTGTGAAACATGGTCTCATTCACACACCAAGCCACAGGGCAGAAAGCTGAGGAGGAGCGCCCAAGTGGCACCTGAAAACTGCCTGTGCTTGTAGCTCACCTGTTGGTGAATATTTGATTTCAGAGTATCCACTTTGCCCCCAGACCTCCAGTTTCATTTACTGAAGAGAGTGAGTCCCAACCTCTCCAGAACTTAAGGGCTACTCTAAAGCTCTGCAGACAGAGTAGAACACATAGATGTATTGGGGAGAAAACAGCTTACAGAGGGCATTGTTATGTCTCTAAGCTTCTGTTCCTTCTGATGAATGCTGCTGTCTACGCTCGACGCTTTCACTGCTGTTTTGCTTTGTAGGCGGAGCAAGGGTAGATCTGGTTGACCAAGATGGACATTCACTTCTCCACTGGGCAGCCCTGGGGGGAAATGCCGATGTCTGCCAGATACTGATAGAAAATAAGATCAACCCAAATGTGCAGGATTATGCAGGAAGGACGCCTCTGCAGTGTGCTGCATACGGAGGGTACATCACCTGCATGGCTGTGCTCATGGAAAACAACGCGGATCCCAACATCCAAGACAAAGAGGTAGAAACTCGGGCTCTCTGTGCTGCCAGCTCCATGGGGAAGACTTTTCTTCTTTGTTGTGAATCAAGCAGAGCAGTTTATCACTTGGAGAGAGATGGCTTTCATTTGTCAATGTTCTCTTCTAGTGCTCATCTGTATCTGTATTACTTAACATGCATATAGACTAGGAATAATTTTTAAAACATTTATAAAATATATGTATATATGTACATATATAATCTTACAAACCACCTTTTGTTTACTTAATATTAGCACCAGCATTTTCCCAGCTGATATAAAATCTTTTTCATAATCATAACTGCTTAATATCCTAAAGTGCCAAGAACTTTCTATCCAGCGATAGTTCTTTCAACCCTCACAGTGATCCTATAAAGTTGTTACTGTCCTACCCTACTCCACAACTGAAGAAACTGGAACTCGGGTAACTTCAGCAATTCCCTGCAGTGATAGCATTTGAGAGTAGGGAGCCCTTAACCCAAACTCAAGAGTTCAGTGATTAACTCCCATACCAGGACACTTCCTCTCTTGCCAGAATCATCTTCATGAGTTTATCTTTCATATGGATTAGTCCCTTAGAATAATCCTTCTAAGGAGTTTATTGAATCAAAGTAACAAGTGCTATACAGTATGAACAGGGGTGTGTGTGTGTGTGTGTGTGTGTGTGTGTGTGTGTGTGTGTGCATGCACTGTCAGAATCCTAAGATGGGATTTAATCCACACTTCCTCCTCTATGCAGTAAGTAAAGTTTCTCTCAGTTTACCTAGCACTTGGAGAGATGGCTGAACTCTTAAAAAACTAGCATAAGTCATGTTTTCCAAGTCAGAAAACAGATTCTCTATTAACCACTCAGGAAGTTTCTACCAAGATTGTTATTATTAAGAATAACATAATGAGGAGCTGGCAGGATGGCTGGCTCCCGAAGCTGTCTGCTGACCATGTGCATGGTGGAACACATGCTAAGTAAGTAAATATATCAATTAGTAAGTACTTTTAAAGTTAAAAGCACCATAAGGAAAAATATGCAAACTGTGGTCCTTGTCCCAATATTAGTAGGACTATATATCTTATAATTTAGCATATCTTTTTTTGCCAAGTGGGCAGTTTATTACATACTTACATTAAGCAACTTTCTAGTTCTGTTCAGTTTTATATGTAGCATTGTGGAATCATCTGTTTAGAACTGTTGAGGGTCTCTCAGATGGTTCTGAATAGAATTGGTCATACAGGCAATCTTGAACTCATTTTGGCTTCTGACCCAGTTTCCAATACTTCACCATTGCATGAGACTATTTCTGGTTGCTAAGAATTTCTAAAATCATAGTGAAATTTGTGTGAAGTACTCTCTGCGCATTTACCAACAAAGTCCCATCTGTCTCTTCTCTTTTCTGTTGATAGAGTGGATTGTGTCGACTGAATGTTGTTCTGTTGTTAATCCTGCCTTACACTTGAAGAGTAACCCTTGCTTACAGTAATAGTATTACTATTATATGTGGGTGGAATTTACTTATGTTCATGCTATTTGCTAGATTGTACATTATTTGGGGAGTCTATCATTAATTTTCCAAGTACCTGGATATCTCCTTATTTCTCAACCTTAATTTAATAGATTAGTTACCTATTGCTCCTGTGATAAATTAGCAAAAACATCCAACACAAATTAATTATGTCACTGTTCCACACCAGTCTCACTGGACTAGAAACCAGAGTACAACAGGGTTGCCTTGTTTTGGAGGACTTTGGGAGAAGTGTTGTTTTTTTATTTTTTTTTCAGAATTTAAAGGCTGCTTAAGTCATGGGCATACTCCTCCACCTCAGAGCTGGCAAGGGCTGGCTGAGTCACTGACACCAACCCCCAGCCCTGTGTCCCTCAGAAAGCCCCCTGTGAGTACAGCAGACCCACTCAGATAGTCAAGAGTGATCTGCCCCTCCCTATCAGGACAGCTGTTTTTCCATGTGGCATCACAAGTCAACGTTCTAGAAGTTACGATGTAGACATCTTCACAGGGAAGGGTGTTATTCTTTTGAGACTTCATGGTCCAGCATATGGCTGACTCTGGTAAATGCTGCATATATAATTGAGAAGAATTCTAATCTGTCATTGTTTAATGCAGTGTTTATGTCTAAATACCAGTCTTCAGGTTGTGTTACTTACATCTTCTATATCATTAGTGTTCTGTTACATGTTTCTAACATCAGCCATTACAAAATAAGGCAACTTACTGGGCAGTAGTGGTACGTACCTTTTAATCTCAGCACTTGGGAGGCAGAGGCAGGCGGATCTCTGTGAGTTCAAGGTCAGCCTGGACTACAAAGCAAGTACCAGGACACCCAGGACTGTCACACAGAGAAACCCTATCTCAGACAAAAAAACCAAATAAATAAATAAAATAAAGCAACTTAAAATCTATCACTATAAAAATGAATATATATAAATGTTTTAATATTTTCCAAATTTATCATTATGATTCTGGCTTTAATTCCCTTTAATTCAGTCCATTTGATATATTAGAAGCTGTGTTAGCTGTGTACATATATGGTATTGTGATAGCTCCCCCACTGACTCCTTCAGCATTATAAATACCTTTTCCCTTCTGCAATGCTTCATGCCTTCTTTAGCTTTCCTTTTCTACATGTAATTATTTATGTGTGTCTGCATATGCATATGCATGTGCACGCACGCACACACATGCATACACACACGCATTGCACACACAAAAGCACGCTCGCACGCACGCCTGGTCGTGTCAGTTGTTTTCCCACCATGGTCTTTGGATCAGACTCCTGTCATGAAGCTTGGTGGCAAGTATCCTTTCATGACATTGAAAATCTTAAATACATGCCATTTGTGCTTTTTATTAATTAATTATTTTCCCAACTCAATCACATTTTCTCTTCCCTCCCTCCTCTCCTCCCAGTCTCTTCCCACAACCTCTTCTCTCCCCACCTTCTCTTCAAAATAGGGCAGACCTCGTGTGTGTGTGTGTGTGTCTGTGTGTGTCTGTGTGTGTGTGTGTCTCTGTGTCTGTGTGTCTCTGTGTCTGTGTGTGTGTGTGTGTGTGTGTGTGTGTGTGTGTGTAAGATCAGCCAGCCATGCATATCACATTGCACTAAGACTAGGCACCTCCTCTCCTATTAAGGCTGAATGAGGCAGCCCAGTAAGAGGGAAGGATCCAGAAAGCAGGGAACAAAGTCAGAGACGGCCCCCGTTCCTGCTGTTAGGAGTCCCACAAGAAGACCAAATGCACAATTGTGGCGTCTGTGCAGAGGACCAAGTCAGTCTCGTGCAAGTTCTCTAGTTGGTGGTTCAGCTCTGTGAGCCCCTATGAGCTCCAGTTAGTTGATTCTGTGGGTTTTCTTGTGGTGCCCTTGGCCCCTCTGCTTCCCACAATCCTTCCTCCCTCTCTTCCACAGGATTCCCCAAAGTCTGCCTAATGTTTGACTGTGGGTCTCTGAATCTGTGTCTATCAGTTGCTGGGTAGACACTCTCTGATGGCAATTGGTCTGGGCAATCATATATGAGTATAGCAGAATATAGTTAGGAATCATCTCATTGACTTTCTGCAGAACAGATAGAACAAAACTAAAATATATACATGTGAGATTGATTAGAGTGGCTTATAGGCTGTGGTCCGACAGTGCTGTCTACTGACAGAAAATCTCAGAATCCAGTAGTTGTTTGGTCTACAAGGCTGGGTGTCTTATTTGGTCCTCAGTATACGCCAGAATTCTGAAGAAGCAGGCTCTAATCCCGTTGAAGGAATGAACTTTCCAGTACAAGTGAAGGCAGGCAGACACAGAGAACATGTCCTTTACACAGGCTGCCAGCAGAAGCTATGCCCAGGGTTAAGGTGGGTCTTCCCGCCTCCAAAGATCTGGGCTTAGGGTAGAGGGCTTCCATTCCAAATGATTTAATTAAGAAGAATCCCTCACAGGTATTCCTAGCCACTTGTGTTTAAGTTAATACCAGTTGTAGTAGAGCAAGCAACCAAGAATAGCTGTCCCACCATTTATCTTATTGAATTTGACTCCAATCGGGTTTGCCTCCTGTTTTCTTGTAGTGAAAGTCAGAGTTTGCATTCCTGGTTGGAATACTCCTTGATCAATTTTGAATCCTCCTCAGGTCTCACCTTGGACAGTGCATGATGCCCTTTGACGAATGTGTTAATTAGGATCACTTTGGTTAAAACACATCTGTTTTCTCTAACATATACTTCATAGTATCCCTTCTGTATTATTGATCAGCCTGAGGGGTAATTGTTTCTTCTGAGTCATTGTGTGTCTGAAATTGCTTACTCCAGTACAGCTGATTTGTTCATACTTGCAGGGACGAACAGCTTTGCACTGGTCCTGTAATAATGGCTACCTTGATGCAATTAAATTACTGCTAGATTTTGCTGCTTTCCCTAATCAGATGGAGACCAACGAGGAGAGGTAAGCCATTGACTGAGAAGGGGAGTGAGTATAGTGTTGTTCGTCTTACACCCTTTCTTTCAGATGAAGAAAAATGTCTCAGGTTGACATACTGGTTTAGAAATAGTAAGTGTACTCATGAGGACACACTGTGCCAAGCAATCCTGAGCCTGAGGAAAGAGCCACATTTCCACGCGTGTTCTCTTAGAACCATGCACTTTTGCGCTTGCTCAAAACTTTGGGTACTACTTACGGCAGGTTCACATTTGCAGATTGGGAAAAGACCTTCTTCAAGCCTGTGCCTAACATATGACCAGTGAAATCCTGAATAACCAGGCCCAGGAATTCATATAGTCCGGCAGAATGAGTTACATATTCAAGTTGTTTCTGTCAGTGGCGAGGATGTTATTAGTTAGTGGACAAGAGGCTGCCATCATGTGTCTGAAAACATGGAGAAGCTGAGATGACACTGAACCCCTGTAAATATCTATAACAATATCGCCCCTGAACCCCTGTAAATATCTAAACAATGTCGCCCCTGAACCCCTGTAAATATCTATAACAATATCGTCTTCCTGAATAATATGATTCACAGAGACACGCTAGGGTTGCCACTAAGGACTCTGGCCCAACAAAGAAGCTCAGACATGGTGGGAGTGTAGCTCGGTTTGTCCTGCCTGCTACCATGTGCTCAGCTCTGGGTTCTGTCCCCAGCATGGGTAGAAAAAGGACCAGATGCAAAGGGAAGTCTATGCCGCAGAGATTCTGTGGACCTTGCCATGGGAAGACTCTAGTAAATTGCAGGTAGTGACCAACTTTATGATCAGGCTTCCCAGCATCTTCCAGAGCCTTTCGTTGTTAGCAAGAAAACTGAAGGTGCCTCTCTTTAAGTTCCAAATGAAAAACAGAAAGGAGAGATAGGAATTTCCCAAACTTCTTTAAAGAACCTTGGGCCAGAAAGATGGCTCAGCAGGTAAAAACACTTAGCGCACAAGTCTAACGGCCTAAGAGCAGTGTCCAGACCCATGGTAGAAATCTAACAGCCTGAGAGCAGTGTCCAGACCGTGGTAGAAATCTAACGGCCTGAGAGCAGTGTCCAGACCATGGTAGAAATCTAACAGCCTGAGAGCAGTGTCCAGACCATGGTAGAAATCTAACAGCCTGAGAGCAGTGTCCAGACCGTGGTAGAAATCTAACGGCCTGAGAGCAGTGTCCAGACCATGGTAGAAATCTAACAGCCTGAGAGCAGTGTCCAGACCATGGTAGAAATCTAATGGCCTGAGAGCAGTGTCCAGACCCGTGGTAGGAGGGGAGAGCCAGGCCCTGAAAGCTGTTCTCTGACCCCGCTGTGCCGTGGTGCTTGCTCACCCACATTCACACGCATGCATATGCAGAGCGCAGCACCAATCAGTTAATTAAAAAGACGTTTCTTATTTCCTAAAGCCAGTCACAAATCTACTAGTGTCCGTGACGTTTAGAAGTGATTAAAAAGGAGAATTTACTCTCACCGTGTTTATTTCCTAGCTGCTCTCTTTGTAAAGAAACGATGAAATGTGTACCGGAGAGAGTGGCTGTACCACAGCCTGTCCCCGTGTTCCCCGGCCGTGCTCCTTGATGGACACGTGTCAGAAGCCGGCACTGCAGCTTGTGTTTATTGACATTCTGCTGAACTCGTCAGCCCATTCCCATGTGGCAGGTCCAATTGTATGTTATCTCTTCTCGGTGTCTACGTTGTTTCTTGGCCGGTTACCATCAGTGTGGTGCTAATTTCTACTTCTTGTGCATAGACACTAACCAAGTGATGTACCCCAAATAGACATCATTTCTGCCAACCTCTGCTGTCTCTCGGTCGATAGCCATCTGACAGCCACTCTCTCATGTCAATGGGAATATTCACAATGCCTGAATGTTGAACTTGGGATAGAATGATAATAACAGCACCATGTCCAGTTGATTAAACAGTGGATGTAAACTTTAATCTTCAAACCTGGCCAGATATTTAGATTGTGTCTCTATAGCTAAGATAGATTTGATTAAAATTCTGATTTGTACAAGTCAATGATTAAAAGAAGACATGTTTGAGACGGTTGAGGAATTATATATTATATTTTACTAAGAAATTCCTGTAATTTTGTTGGCATAATGCTCTTTGTGGCTGTGCCTATATGATGTGTAGATGAATTCTGAGACACATAGAGATGAACTAATATGACTCCACAATTTGCCTTAAAATACTTAAGCAAAAATTAAAAGAAAAAATTGAAACAAGGTAACATGGCAAAAAAAAAACACAAAACTTTCTGGTTCTTAAGTTTGGGTTTTGAGAGTATGGAGAATTGTTATATTATTTCTCAACATTTTACACTTGAAATATCTCATAATGAAAATATATTTTTTCATAATAAAAATATTTAAGATATTAAGTTTCAATACAGAGACAGCCTAAGAGATCTGTGTCTCCCCCTCCTTTTTTTCCTTGTTTAAGAATAAGGAAACAAACTCAGAGAAGTTACTTGACTGCCCAGGGTCACACAGGTTCCTCATTCCCAGTCCAGATGTTTTGTGATAAATACTACATATTAGTACTTACAGAAAAATTGTTGGGCTTGCTAAATATACATGTTCTATGCATATTGATCTCACAAGAAGCTCTGTTCTATTGGAATACATTCAGTAGTTGATAGAAGAGGAGATTTTACCAAACTGGTTGCATAATTTCTGTAAGTTGCTTAACTCTCCTGGGTCTCTATTTATGAATGAAAATGTTGCATTTATGACTTGTAAAGGTTCATTCGAGTTACTGCCCCATGTTCGGTGGCTCTCTGATAATCTCTTTATTAGATTATCACATGTACAGTCAGGAGAGATTCTTACATCTTCTGACTTTATAATATCTATTTATAAATACCATGTGAGGCTACTTACTTATGAACCTCTATTTCCCAAACACCAGTGGCAAAGTAAGGCATTCTGAAATGACCAGATCTTTTCTTCAGCTGTTGAGGGTTCAGTAAAGAAGCCATACATGAGTCTGTGATTCACCCAGTGCAGGCTCTGAATTAAGTTCACTTCCTAAAGCAGCCACCCCACCCTTATTCTGAAAACCTCTTCCTTTTATGCCATACTGTAACATTAGGTAAATTTTGAAGAGAGATTTTCTTTTTGGTAGTCAATATGTGATTTTCTGAGTATAATCTTGCATCCCTATAACCTTATCCTTTTTCCCACTAAGTTAGCTCATGTTTTATGATTGTGTTGACTACCCCAGTCACCCTGTGGACTTGGCCTCAGTGTGCAGTTGTCACTAGGTAAATATGAGCTTGGGTCCTATGGCAGTGTTTATGGCAGGCTACTGCAGGATCATAAAGGCTGCTGCAGTGTGGATCCTGAGCAGCAGCTGACATGCAGGGACTGCGCGTGTGTGCTGCACACAGGTTAAGTCCCTGTCCATTCACCATCCACAACAGAGGAGGACAGCTGAGCCCCCAAAAGATCAAGTCTGGTTAGAAGTGGCATTACTGTCATCATCAGGAGATTCCTTTACTTCAGTCTTTGCTCTTTTATTCCATCTCAAGTCTTAAAATAGCTATGGTTATGATGTGTTGCATCCTTTTATGCTGTGGAATATTAGTTCAGTGATGCAAAAATGTGTTGCACTCTCTTATGCTGCATTTGTTTAATTCTGTAAAGCTGTATTACTTCGCCTGTCTGAAACATCTGATTGGCCCAATAAAGAGCTCAATGGCCAATAGCTAGACAGGAGAGAGAAGTAGGTGGGGCTGGCAGACAGAAAGAATAAATACAAAGAGGAGGGAGGAGCAAGAAAAAAGGGAGGAGAGGAGGACTCCAGGGGCCAGCCACACAACCAGCCATGCAGTAAGAAGGGAAGAAAAACATAGAATAGAGGAAAGTAAAAGCTCAGAGGCAAAAGGTAGATGGGATGATGATTTAAGTTTTTAAAAAAACTGGCTAGAAATAAGCCAAGCTTTATAGGGCCAGGCATTCATAAATAAGAATAAGTCTCCATATATTTATTTGGGAGCTGGGTAGCAGGCCCACAAAGAGTAAAAAAACAACCAGCTGCAATGTATCATTTAAACAATATATTCATTTTTTGTCTCTTTTTTTTTTTTTTTTTGGTTTTACGAGACAGGGTTTCTCTGTTTTGGAGGCTGTTGGTCCAGCCTGACCTCGAACACACAGAGATCCGCCTGCCTCTGCCTCCCGAGTGCTGGGATTAAAGGCGTGCGCCACCAACGCCCGGCTCATTTTTTGTCTCTTTTAAGTGATGGTTTCCCTGTAATTTTTTGTTAGTCACGTTTACTGGTCTTTTATGATTATTACGTTTCCTGTCACTTTTTTAGAAAGGACTTCCTGTTTCCTGCTAGAGTCTCCTTCAGTCTCCCACGGATCTTCCAGTACCTACATAGTTTCCAGTGTGTAGATCTTTGCTCCATCTGCACTGTTTTGGTTTTTAAAGCAATACACAAGTCTCCTTAGATGAGTGTAGTTACACATACCTTTCATGGCTGTATAGAGAAACCTGTCTCAAAAACAAGCAAACAAAAAAGTCTCTTTTACTCAAGTGACAACCGGGTTTCACCAACACCATTAATTAACTATCCAGCTCACCTGCAGTGACTTGCAGGGGCCCTCTGTATCATGGAGTCAGTATCCCCTGTCTGGAAATAGACTTCTTTTCATAAGCACTAATTGTCAGTAATTATAGAAAAATAATCCGGAGAATTTTTTCAAACAGAAGGAGGGAATCACTTGGCACATGGGAGAAAGGGAAGTAGTCATGTGTTCGCATAGCCCCTAGCTCAGTGGTTCTCAACCCCTTTCATAGGGGTGACATATCAGATATCCTAGAAATCATATCTCTATATTACAGCTCATAACAGTAGCAGAGTTACACTATGAAGTAGCAATGAAGTGATTGTATGTTGAAGGGGTCACACAACATGAGGAACTGTGTTAGGAGTTGATTGTATGTTGAAGGGGTCACACAACATGAGGAACTGTGTTAAGGAGTCGCAGCACTGGAAAGGTTGAGAGCCGCTGCTCTAGCGTGTGAACCAGCTCCCAGAGCTCAGCCACACAAAGGTGAGCCTGCAGCCTCTTGTTTTCTTTCTCCCTAGAGAAGAAAGAGGAGCAGACTAGAAAGCTTTGCCCGGGAAATAGCCCATGGTAGAATGAGTGTCGTTCTGCTAGGTGCTAACACGGTTTCACTGTGCCTTGAACCGCAGTCCATTCAAAAGCACTCTTCCTCTCGCTCCAGGTATACGCCCCTTGACTATGCATTGCTTGGTGAGCGCCATGAGGTGATCCAATTCATGCTGGAACATGGTGCCCTGTCTATCGCAGCTATACAAGACATTGCTGCCTTCAAAATCCAAGCTGTCTACAAAGGCTACAAGGTCAGAAAGGCCTTCCGAGACCGGAAGAACCTCCTCATGAAGCATGAACAGCTGAGAAAAGACGCTGCAGCTAAGTAAGTGTGAGCCACTCAGGTCGCTCTCAGCTGGGAAGGGAATCTGGGATTACACTCAGGCAGTCATGTTTGAGCGTCAAGGACTTTACCAACTGACCCGTCTCCCCAGACCTCGTCTTGTTTTATTGAAAGAAACTAATGTCTAGCCAACTTTTGCTCAATGAATGTGAGTCTAGTTTTGATTTAACTAATGCAACCACATGTGTAAATACCTGGTTCTTCTTCCCCATTTCCTGACAAACCTGTATAAATACAGTCATCCCGTGTGCATGTGGGGGTGCGGGCATGGAGTCAGGATGTCCTTGAGATGCCAAGATCAGTGGGTGTCCAAAGTCCTTACATAAAATGACCTACACCCACCCCCTGTGCATGTGAAGCCAGCAATAGATTACCTACAATGCCTAGCGTAGTATGAACGCCATATGAATCACTGTCATAAAATATTATTCAGGGAAAAATGAAAAGTAGAAAAGTGTCACAATGCTCAACACAGATGGTAATTTTTTCTGAAAATCTCCAATCTGTAATTGGTTGATAACTGTTACAGAAGTGTTCTAAATATCTGAAACTTTTATAGCAAATACCTCGCCAATGGAGCTGTAGATGAGTGTTCCTGAAGGCTACCCTGGCTGTATCTTGAGTGTCACCAAGTCTTGAGTCCCCAGCTCTTGAGTTTTCTGTTTTCCACACAATGAAGTCTGAGTGTGACAAAGAACCATTAACAAATCACAGAATAAGATACTTGGAAACAAATGAAAGGACACTGTGTACTAGAATGCTAGCCATAATGTCAGCCCCCACAGGAAAGGTGGCAGGAAGCTCACCCTTTACTGTGACTCTGAAGACACTGAAGTAGTTGGTGTCCTACTTCGGGTCACGATTGCTGTGATGAACGCCATGACCACGGCTACTTGGGGAGGACAGGGCTCACTTGGCCACGCTTCCACATCACAGTCCATCATCAAAGGACGGCAGGACTCAAGCAAGGCAGGACCTGGAGGCAGAGATTGACAGAGTCCTCAGAGGGTGCTGCTTCCTGGCTTGCTCGGTCCACAGGCTGGTTGTCTGAGCTGCTCTTCAGTGGACACTGGAATCCCAAGCGCAGGTTGTGATTGCAGTGAAGGAATGGACTTGCCAGCAAGTCAAGGACCAGCAGGCAAAGAGCAAAAGCATCCTTCTCCCATGTCCCCATAGAGGCTTCCAGCAGAAGGTGTGGCCCAGATTAGATCTGCATTAAAAGCATATCTTTTCCCAGCTCAAAAGATCTAGATTAAGGACCCAGATTAGAAGTAGATCTTTGAAGCTTCTAGATTAGAAGTAGATTTTCCTACTTCAAATTAAGCAAAAACCCCTCACAGGTGTGCCCTCCATTTGGGGTTTTAGTTCTGGATGTACTCAAGTTGTCAACCAAGTACAAACATCACAGTTGGTATCCCAGGAAACAGCATATCACACTCTTTTTTTAGTTTATGCATGTATGTATATACATGTATATATGTGTTCTTATATGCATATACACACCGTGAGTGGAAGCCTGAGAACAGCCTTGTGTGTCAATGTTGGGAACACTGCTCACAACCTTTGAGGTAGGTTTCTCAGTGGTCTAGAGCTCACCAGTTAGGCTAGATTAGCTAGCTAGTGAACCTCGAGGACCCCTCAGTCTCCACACACTCTCAGCTGGGTTTCCAAGAGGGTGCTACCGTGTCTGGGTTTTTACATAGGTTCTGAGAACCTAAATTAGGACCTCATGTTTGCAAGGCAAACGCCCTACAAACTAAGCATCTTCAGCCCATCTCTCCCCCTTCCTAAGCATGTTCTCGTTATGTAGACCAGGCTGGTTTTCATTCAGCTCCTGACCCTTGTGCTCCAACCCCACGGAGTGGCAGGATGCACAGGTGTCCTCTCTCCCATCTTAGTAAGCCCGCCCTCATCCCGTCTGCCTAAGCCTCTCCACCTCTTTATGTTAACCTTCTTAAAAGTCCTTCAGGTGGTGACAGTGTAAGGAAACAGTACCCACGATGTCTTTCAACATGGGATGGAATAGTGTACCAGAGGGGCCACATTAATGGAAATGATTGTAAGACTCCCAGTGGATGCCTAACACCTTGGATATCACTGAAACCTGTACAGATATCCCCCCCCCGCCCCCGACTAAGATGCTATGACAGTGATGAATTCAGCAGTCAGAAATGATACCTTAAATTTTGATATTTCCCCATTACAAGTCTCTCATATCGCTGACCAACAGTACTGAACCACCACTACCACTCAGCCTCAGTCTTTTAAGAAATAGGCGATGCTGTATGATGCCCCATGTCACTAAACTATGACGTTCACTAGATATTTGATAGTAGCATGAGCTACCCAAAATGTAACACTGTTATGAGCTGAGCAGTTTCTGGACATGCTGCTTTTTCTTGTTCATACATGCCCATGATAAAGTGCTTCTGACATTTTAGGCTCAGTAAGACAGAAATACAATAGAACCACCCAACAATAGAGCATAAAGAAAGTTACAAGAATCTGGTCTCTCTCTAAATATCCTATGCACTTTTTGAAACCTTCGTTAAAAAGAAGCAGGTCTGAATTCTTGGCATTTCTGCCCCTTTGCTTCAGAGATGTTCTTACTCATGAAGGTGACTTAAGCACAGCACTGCGGCACTGCAGATCCACAGAACACTTAGGAATTAGTTGTTTCTAGAATTTTCTATTCAGTGAGAAACAGAAACTCAAGAAAACAAAACTATGGAGACTGCTATACTGCTATATTTCCTCCCACTGATAATTCCATAAATTTCAGTTTAACGTGTAAGAATCGTCCTCCAGAATACAGTCATGGGGCTGGAGAGATGGCTCAGCAGTTAAGAGTACAGGCTCTTCTTCCAAAGGACCCGGGCTCAATTCCACCTCACACCTGTCTGTGATTCCAGTTCCAGAGCTTCTGACACCCTCACACAGACATACATGTAGGCAAAACACCAATGAACATGAAGTAAAAATAAATTATAAAAACAAGAGATATCATATCGCTCAGTGATAGAGCATTTGCCTGCAGAATCCAGTCATATACACCTGAATATGAAGTGCAGCTCTACAGAGATAGATGGCTGACACTGTATGTCCTCAGAAAGGATCGCATTTACTTCATGAGTAGAGACAGGAGACGTGAGTTCTTTGCATACTCTCGCCCCAGCAGAGTAAGAGGGGCGGTAGACTGGGGAAACAACAGGACGCAAAACCAGTCCGATCAAGACAGCATTTCTCACCGGCCCGTGATTTCTCCGTCTGTGGTGTGTGGTCAGGTAGACTAACTGATCTGGGGCATTCTTCAGGGCTGTAGAGACTCCCAAGTTTGCACTAGAGCCTCTTCTTCCTCTCCCAGAGGGACCACAAGTTTGCATGGACATAGTGATGAGTCAGTGCAGAGTTGGGAACTCAGCGCTGTGTGGTCTCCGATGTAAAGGATATGTTTTAAAACACGGGCACCGTGAAAAGCTCACAACTTCTTCTTTTCCTAACATGTGCTTCAGTGTCCTGGTCCAGAGGCCTGAAACAAGAAGGGAATTGTAGGAAATGCTGGACTCTCTCTCTCTCTCTCTCTCTCTCTCTCTCTCTCTCTCTCTCTCTCTCTCTCTCTCTCTCTCTCTCTCTCTCTCTCTCTCTGTCTCTCTCTCTCTCTGTCTCTCTCTGTCTCTGTCTCTCTCTCTCATTGTCATTCCAATGAGGTCCTCTAGCATGGAAGAAAGGACCATTTTGTTTTTAAATTTTAGCTTCTGAGGTAATACTTGGGACTCTGTTAATGGTGGCCATGCTTGCTTGTGGTCATACTGCAACTTACGAACTGGGAAAGCAGCAGTGTCTTCTGTTTCTCGTTTACAGACATTCTTTCACCTGTGGCAGTGTGGAAACAGAGTTCATAGCGTCCAAACTCACCTCCCTCCATCATCACCCACTTTACCTCATCCTACAGCTCCTACTTCCCACACTCACCCCTGTGTGAGCTCACCTCCTCACTCAGCCCTGTGTGACCTCACCTCCTCACTCACCCCTGTGTGACCTCACCTCCTCACTCACCCCTGTGTGACCTCCTCACTCAGCCCTGTGTGACCTCACCTCCTCACTCAGCCCTGTGTGACCTCACCTCCTCACTCACCCCTGTGTGACCTCACCTCTTCACTCAGGTGAAGGTCTGGAGACTGTTCTCATTTCCTTATAACTCTTAACAGTTATTTATTAAAGTCTGAGTCATTGTTTGATTTGTTTTTGAGATTTTGCTTTAAGAAATAAAACCCGGAATTCTGCTGCTGAGTCCTTAATGAAGGCGTGTCAGGCACATGACATTATCTCAATTCCCATTTCTTATTTAGCCATGTTTGGACATCAGGAATCACCTTTGTAAAGTGAGCAGGTGAAAGGGACTCATTAAACATGAAGGAAAGTGATCTCTAATTCATGATGGAGAAGTTGGGAGACAAGATTACAGATATGTTTTGTAAGCAGTATTTTAGAAACTCCTATTTAAGAAATGCCCATATTAATTTAAAAGCACTTCATAACTCATAGGGCACTGTGCTGCTGCCAAAATAAACGTCCTGTAATTTTCCTGCCAGAGCACAGCGTGGAGATCAGACTTAGGCAGAACCTAGTTTATGTTAATCGCCCGTCTTCCTTTTCAGGGGTTCATTCCCTTTCTTCTCACTCTCCCTTCCTCCCTCCATCTACACACCGAGCTCAGCCCTCTCTTCTGACATCTACACATGCCATGTTTTCTGCTGGAAATGCACTCACTCTTAGGAATTAAATTAGAGTCAGCCCAGAGGTGCACATCTGTACTTACAGCTACTCCAGAGGCTGATGCAGAAGGGTCACATGAATCCAGGGCTTCAAGACCTGTCTAGGCAACATAGCTAGAGATCCCGTCTCAAAAATTGTTTTTAATTAGACCATCTCTCTAGAAAGCCCTCAGTCAGTGTCACACCAATATCTCCCGTACCTCTGATTCTGTCTTCAGCTGCTCCCTGGGCGTTTCCACTCTGCCTTCCTGTGGTCACCTGCCGACACATGAGTCACTGGCACACCACTTTATGCTAGCTGTCACCCTGCATGCCAGTGCTGTCTCCCGGTCTCTGCTTTCCACTACAACCCCACACACCTTTGGACTTGACCTTCAGCCATCTCAAACGTCTGTTCTTCCTCACTGACCCCACTGAGAGACCTGGGCTTCCTCTGGCTAGTGTAACACTGACATACAGAGCCTTGTAGAGCCACACAGGTAAGCCCAACCTGGCCACCAGGCAGGTTCGTGGGATGCTCAAGTCCTTTTTCAAGGAGTCTGTGTCCTCCAAAACATCAAATGACAGGGAATTTGTCTCTCCCACAACAGCACATTCCATCAGTGGAGGCTTGTGTCTGACACTTCTTTTCTTTTCTGTTAAGTTCTGTTTAGTTATATGTATGTGTGTGTGCCTGTCTCTGAATGTGTGAGTGTGGGTACAAGTGTCCCCCGAGACCAGAAAGGCAGAGGATCCCCTTAGGTTTGGAGTTACAGGCAGTTATGAGCTGCCTAATTGGGTGCTGGGAACCAAGCTCAGGTCCTCTGCAAGAGCCGTACATGCTTTTAACTGCTGACCCATCTTTCCAGCCCAAGAGGTTTGGGTTTTTTTTTCCTTGAAGCTACCCCTCAAAGCCAGTGGGAAAAGTCTGTTCCCCACAAACTCTGAGGTATGCTCATGGCACTCCATTCCCACCACAGACTCCTTTGGTTTTATGGCAGCTCTTGTCCATCCTGCTCCCCTGAACGTCAGTCTCTCTTCAGGGCTGGGCTATGTATGTCTCACTCTTTAGCCATGTCTAATCCAGGGGGAGTTACTTCTGCAGTCTCCTTCATGCAACCCAACTTCTCAGAGCTTCAATTTCCCAACAGTAAATGAAAAGTGGACTTCCAGGCTCTAGAGTTGCCCTGAGATGATATACAGCATTTCGTATGTCAAGAGTATATATATCCACTTGGGGAAAGAGGAGCTGCAGATTTTTCACTCTCATTATCAAAGTGTCTGGTGAGTCACAAAAGATTTTTTTAACTGAACTGACTATCTGAGGTCCTTCCAGCTCTAACATTCCATAAGCCAAAGGTCCTGGACACGCAACATTTTCTTATTCCCTGGAGAGGACGTTAAAGACCAAATATTACTCCACTTGTTATTCAGAGACAAGGAAGGGATAGAACCTGACAGACCCCAGATACCAAGCAGCAGCAAAGGGAAAGGTTACAGCCAAGCCTCTGTCTCATGCTGCAATCAGCTCCTCTAGCTGGAACATTCCAGCAGGAGTGCAGTTGTCATCTCTCAAGGTATTGTAGACGGGAAATTTAAAATAGAAGCAAGCACTGGCCTCCGAGATGTCCTCTAAGTCAAAGCCTGGGTGGGAGCAGGGTTGCAAGTCTTTACTCGTGTTCTTCCCCTGGCCTGGGATAACCTCTCCCTTCACTTCTCTCCTGTTTTGACATTCTTCACAAGGAGTCTTTTCCTGCCTCTGTCTAATTAGCGTCTGCCTCCTGCTGCCCCAGTATCTCTCTGTGGACACCTCAGCCGCAGTGCTCATCCCATCCAGATCTCCCTCCCGTCTGCAGAAGAATGTGGATCCAGTTCCCACACTCAACTGCCAGGTCCCTAAGAGCAGGGATTGTGTGTTCCGTCTTCATATCCCCAGTGCCTTACAATGTGTGGCACACAGTAAGACTGTGATAAACAATATTTAGTGCCTTACAATGTGTGGCACACGGTAAGACTGTGATAAACAATATTTAGTGCCTTACAATGTGTGGCACACGGTAAGACTGTGATAAACAATATTTAGTGCCTTACAATGTGTGGCACACGGTAAGACTGTGATAAACAATATTTAGTGCCTTACAATGTGTGGCACACAGTAAGACTGTGATAAACAATATTTAGAAACTGCCCTTGCGGTGGTTCTGAGAACTCACAGATGGTCTCATTTGGCACTCTCTAGAGCCGTATAGTCTCTCCACACACACACATCTCGTATGTGTACAGGGTATGTGTGTAGATGCACACACCCTGGTGCATATGTGGAGGTCAGCAGATAACCTTGTGGGGTCAGTCTTCTCCTCTGCCTCCGTGTGGGTTCCTGGGATGCAGCTCAGGGGGCCAGGCTTATACAGCAAGCACCTCTACCCACTGAGCCATCTCGACAGCCCTTAACCCTCTGAGAGTGGGACATGACACTGTCAGACACAAGTGTGTTTGACCACATTCATAGTTGTCCTGGAGTGCAGCCCGGTGGCTACACGTTAGACGTGCCTTCTGTGCCTTAGTTTCCCCCTTTGTCAGATGGGAGCACTGGGCTGAGTATTAGTTACTTCTGTGCTACCGTGACCAAAATGAGTGACAAAAATGACTTGAAGGAAGAGAGATTTTTGCTCATGGTTTCGGTGGCACCCATCCTTCCTGGTGGGGAAGGCGTGGTAGCACCCAGCCTCTTACATTATGGCAGCCAAGAAGTAGGGAAAGAGGACAGGAAGGGGAGGGGTAAAATATAGCTTCAAATGCCCACTTCCAGTGACCTGCCTTCTCCAGCTTTCAGCTCTACAATGGATCTTCGAGAGGTCCATCGTCCATTAGACCAGAGGCCTCAGGTTCTGTCTCTCAAAACCAGCATCACAAACAAATCCAGAGGTGTGCTTTCCTGGTGTAGGCCATCTTTAATACAGCTGAGCGACTGTCCAGGTGAACTGTCACAGAGCAGACACTCTTGGACAGCCTCCATTCCGGTCTGTGAGCCTGTAACACTTTAACTCGCCTGTCCTTCTCAGGACAGCGTATGCGGTTAGTCCATGCCACTTATCTTCACAGAGAGCTGGGGCACTCCCACATTTGTGCAGCTGGTCCCCGGCCCCTCCATGCTGATGAATGCCACTCAGCCTGTGACAGGTTTAAAGAGCAACAGGACTCGCTCTGTGGTGTGTTAGAAAATGGGGTTGTGATTTCTTCCCCTTTCAGATCCAAGATCCTGACAAGTCTTAGCCCTGCTGGATCCAAGGGCACTGAGTGGGGAGAGCAAGGGTTCAGTACCCTTGTTATCTGTGACATCTGGAAGCTTTAATTTAAAAAAATGCATCATTTCATAAAACTTCCTATTCTTTCACCTAAGGCTGAGTTACACCCTCGTGAATACATCATTTCTTCTCCTTCTAGATATTTAGTTCTACAAAAATAAAAACAAAACACTGTCTCTTCCCCAAAGAAGTCCCCAGAAAACAGCCCGCTTGATGCTTATACATCCTCATCACTTTGTCAGGCTACCTGTTATTTGTCATGTGACTGACCTTGTTGGAGGCCCAGGAAGGTCTGTGGTAACAGAGCTTGTCTCCTGGCTGCACAGTGGCTTCTTGAATTAACTAGAGATGTTTGGTTTCTTAAAAGAAAGAAATGACTGCTCAAACAATAAAATCTTACTTATCACTGGTGAGCTCCTCTTATTGTCATGGAGATCCACGGAGATGCCAGCCCAGACAGCCTCATTTGTGTCTATGAAAAGGGCCAACACCACTCCCTTAAAGCCACTGTGTTCATCTGCAGCATATGAAGAGCGAGGCTCCCTCTCTCTGCCTAGGTCATTTAACAGAACTCACCCGGATGTTTCCACCTTCTCCTGAAATGTAGCCCATGTCCCAGCACCCCTTAGCACCTGTCAGTCACCTTGAGTGACATTCACTAACATCTATGTGGAATCCAGCTCTCGCTTATGACACTCGCCCAGCTAGTCCACAGCAGCAGGAACAGCACATTCAAGTGTCAACAGTTGGCAGAAGTGTAGCAAAACCAGAGCCAATCAAAACAGGACTGGCCATGTTCTCTATAAGGAAATTCAGTGGGCTCCCGAATGGAGGCTTTTCCACACAGAAGGACCCTAGCAAGGGGAATTTAATGGGTTGATGTAGTTTAAAATCATCTGTCAGCTGTGAAATCTAAATAAGCTGCACTCTAAATCTAGTCCTGAACTCTCTGCTTGCTCAGGGTCTCTACCTCAGCTCTGGCCTTCATGTTTGGTGTCTTGGACCTATGGACTGCCAGGTAGCTTGTGAAAAAGCATGCACTAGTATAGTAAACCATGCAGAGAGACACCTTTCACCCCCACAGTCTACCATGACCACAAGCTTCTCCTTCTCTCCTAAGCCTCACACCTGGACACTTGCAGGAAATGCAGGGCGTAGAATCCAAATTAATCAAAACGTGTAACTCACAAGATCCCAAGGGATTTGGCCATTTAATGCACGGGAAAATAGGACCTGAGTTCTTTTCTGTGCGTCCCTGTGGGGAGCTGCCTCTTGCTCTGCATGGCTTCTCAGGCCTTTCTCTGCCCACCATCCTTCTCTTGTGTGACTTCAGCTCTTCCTACCCGTGCAGAGATGCCAGCAGACTGGTCTCAGGAGGCAGCCCTTTTCTCCAAAGCTCCAAAGCTGGCCACCATCTGGGCTCCTCTACCAGCCCTCAGTCCCTCGAGCTTCCCCTGAAGATTCTTTCTTAATTAATCATTTAACTTTATTTGCATTGATATAGAAGGTATCCGATACCCTGAAACCAGAGGTACAAACAGTTGTGAGCTACCATGTGGGTGCTGGGAATTGACTGGTCCTCTGGAAGAGCAGTCACTGCTCTTAACCTCTGAGCCATGTCTCCAGCCCCTGAAGAAAGATTCTAACCTCAGATACTGTGATGAGTAAGCTTCCCATCTTAAAAAAATAAATCTCAAGGACTGTAGAGACCCCAAGTCTCCCAGCACCCCTGCGTCAGATCACAGACTCTGAGCTCTCACACAGAGTCAGGGCTGGCTGGTCTCTGACAGAAAAGCATCTCAGCTGTGTCCATTTGCTGGTCAGCTGCAGAGCAGGCACAGACGTCTTCCAAACTTCCCAGCATGGTTTCTCTCCACCACTCCCCCATCACTCTAAGACTCTTCAGTAGTGACCAGATTCTCTCCCTGTGAGGAACAGTGTCATCTAGAAGTCGATACACTCCAGTGTGGGTACAGCACACCAGGCCAGACTCCTCCCTCTCATCTCTGCCCACCAGGCACCTGCCCATCTTAGCCCTGGAAGCTGGGACACATATTCCTCCACACAAAATTCACCACCTTGATGCAGGCACAGTACTGTAATGTTTCTTCCACGGTAGGCTAGGTTTCTCTTTTCCTAGCTGTTCCCTTCTGGGTAGATTCCCCAGGGCAGACCTGAGGTATACAGTCTTCATCCTGTGTCCTCATTGTGCAGTAGAGGAGAGACAGGAAATGTTAGGGTCCTTCTTCTTCTTTCCCTAGAATGCCTTCCTTTAGTGGCACCGGTCAAATAGGTCCTGTTCCTAGTGTAGTGAGTGGGAGCACCAAAATGTAAGCTAGTGCAGTGAGAATGTTCCAGCTCTCTGGGGCTGCCAAAGTGTCCTGGCTATCTAGGACAGCTCTGGGGGATGGACTCCATCGGGCAGCGCAGCCCTGGAGGGAAAGGTGTCCTGACTCCTCCAGAAGCCAGGCTACCTGAGGCAGGGGTGCGGTGAGGGATGGTCTCCCTGCAAGATAGAGCAATCCTGCTCCTCTCCTGGAGAGAGATATAACAACTGAGCTCTGCTCTGTTCCCTAACCCTTCTTCTTCCGCCCAAGATGCTACTTCTTCAGCTACAGTCTGCTGAAGGGGAAGCCTCTTCAGAAATGTAGCAACCCCCTCAGGCTCCAGGGAAAAGTTGTTACTTTTCTCTCTCCAGCCTTACTCGGTCCTCCTAAGGGAACCTCCCAGGAAGTTCTTCTCTTCTGCTGTGGCAAATGAGGATCTTCACCCAAGACTGCCTCTACCAGCGTGGAAAAGGACAGCCAGCAACTGACCATGCAGAGGGGTTTATATAGGGCTTCTTGGGGGTGGAGTTTCCCCAGGGAGAGGTTTTTCTGCTCAGGGATTGGTTGGTTTCATGTTTCAGTTTGTCAGCACCAGGTTGGCGCTGATGTGGGGGTCAAAGTGGGTTTCTTTGACTGGCACTTTTACCCTGCACTTAGCCCTCCCCATCTCCAGCCTGAGCTGGCTCCCTGGGAACATGAGGACTGGCTTGCCTTCCTTTGCCCCTGATCTTTAGGCCTGGCCTCTGCTGCCAAGCTTCTTTTATACTACTGTTGCTCAAAGGCTGAGCTGAGTCCCCAATGTAGTGCTGGTGTCTGGCTCATGAAGATCATCACAGGGGTCCCATTTGCAAAGGGCTTTGTTGACCCCTTGGCTGCAGAGGTGAAGTCAGCAAGTAACTTCCCATGTTATCATTTCCACAAGCCTGTGCCTGTGGTCCTTGGTGACATTCTGCTTTCTGTTTGGGGCAGGAGAGAAAGGGGTGGAGTTTTGGTTAGCTCCAGGGTCAGCAAGATTGGTAAATTGCACTGTAGTCCAGTGCCTGGTGTGTCTCAGCAATGCAGACTGAACTGTGTGGTGGTGTTTTTTAGACTACATCCTATAAGGCCTGTAAGGTACAAGGAGGTGGTTGCTGTTTTACTTAGAGGAGAAGCCCACCCTAGACAGTGTGCATTTCCACATCCATCCTGTGGCGTGGCAGCTCCTCTCAACGTTTCAGTCCATCTTGAGGACGCTCAAGCAGGTGAGGCCCGTTTGACTTTCTCCTCTTCTTTGGCTTTGCTTCCAGAAAACGGGAGGAGGAAAACAAGCGGAAGGAAGCTGAACAGCAAAAGGGACAGCTGAGCACAGACACCCCCAGACCCCAGTGTCTCCCCTGTCCACCCAGCCCCCAGAATGAGCCCAGCAAGCAGAGCGCAGACCCTTGCAAACAGCCACCTGCTGGTCACACAGTCCAGGGCCCAGACCCGGAGCACAGCAGAAGGTCTCCAGGCCGACGTCCAGGCAGAGCCTCGCACAGGGACTGTCCCTCAGACCTTCAGGAAACAGCCTCCAGAAAGCCCAGTGGTAAGTGCTGTCTAACACCGCACGGCCGGGCTTTGCGGGGCAGTTAGTTCAGCAGAGCTGAGGCCTGCCACAGTGCGGTCTGTGTTCTTTGTTTCCCGTGGCTCTCGGTCCTCTGTGTCTCCTTTCTAGCCTTGCCCTAGTTTACTAGGACACTTCTAGGCATCAGTCTTAACTGATGTGTAAGTGTTTTGAGTGTATTTCTTTGTCTAGTTTTTGGCACTCCGGCCGGGTATTACATAGGTAACTTGCTTCAGTCTGAGTTACCACTGAGTGAAATGTTAGAACTACTCTTTCACTTGGGTAGCTGCAGTACTTTTAAATGGCATTGCTGGGGCCACCCACGTGCAGTTGCTTAGAGTCATCTGTAACTCCAGCTCCAGAAGCTCTGACTCTGTCTTCTGTGCTCCGTGTGCACATACGCCCCCACCACCCCTTTCCCCAACCCCCCACCCCGCCACACACACACACTTAATTTAAAAATAATCATTGGTGAAGATCAGCTGTTGTCGCTTTCATTTCAGTCGTCAAATATAATTTATAAAATTCATGAAGAAAGGCTGATTTAGATACACATATTTCTGCCTTTGTTTGTTTGTTTTTTGAAACAGGGTTTCTCTGTGTAGCCCTGGCTGTCCTGGAACTCGTTCTGTAGACCTTGAACTCACAGAGATCCGCCTGCCTCTGCCTCCTGAGTGCTGGGATTAAAGGCGTGCGCCACCAACGCCCAGCTATTTCTGTCCTTCTGTTCTCTCTTCTTCCTATTGTTTTCTTTCTGGTTGGGGAGCTTTCTCTAGCTAAAGTCTCCCAGCAACACAGTCTTGGCATTTTCCCTTGTTCTGAGTTTCTTGTTATCACATTCCCAAGGAGCCAGATCTAGACTCCATGCTTGACATTTCTTTTTATCATATTACATCACTTCCTTCTGAACTGCTTGTTTTGAGATGAGAAAGCCGTTGTCATACACGCTGGTCTTCCTCAGGAACACTCATTATCTTTAGTTTTCCAAAGTCTGAGGCCTTGCTGTGGGTTTCTGATTTATCCCGTTTGTACTTCATGTGGTGTCAAGAGTCCCCAATATTATGTGATGTGGTCAGTTGCTGGGAGAAGTACACAGCCCCAGGAGTGTGCTTGTGCTCAGAGCTGTGATACACTGTTACAATACTCACAGCAAAATCACCAAAGGGAAAAGTTCTCCTTGCACAGGCCCAGAGGAAGCCAGATGCACACTTCCAAAAATTCTTTTCTGGGAAGTTACATACACACACACACACACACACACACACACACACACACACACACACACACTTAGTTACTTCAGCAGTAAATTATAATGACCAGTTTCATAACCTTTTGTCATCCAGAAAAACTCCGTTGAACCTAGGACTCCATGGTTTTACACAGAAATACCCCTGTCTAGTGTGTATACAATGACCACAGTGTTTGCACAAAGCCATTTAAGCCCTTTGAACTGCTTCTCTAGAGAGTGCTGAGAGCCTTCCCAAACTTACAGGCTAATGCTGATACGGTTTTTAGAAAACCAAATATCTTAGTATAAGTAATTATGAAAAGTTCTCTGAGATCTCACTATCACTCAGAGTTTGGGCAATTCAGTCTGTCTCTCTGAACATCAATTTCCTTAGCTATAATGGGAGTTATGGGTAGAAATAAAGTATTCTGTAGGATTTATTCTAGCCCATGACCCGCAAACCTTTAGTAACTAGTATTAGTATTAATCCAGCCTGCTAACCCAGCCATACATAAATGCCTAAGCATCTCTTGGGTTCCGTTCGGCGTCAGTGTAGCGGCACTGCAGACCTCAAGCCCAGTGTGGTGTCCATTCATCCACCGCTTCTTTCAGCTGGCACCGACTAGCGGTCCATGATGTGGCAGCCGCGGTAAATTCCGTAGGTTCTTCTTAGGGCCTTGTCAGGTTTCTGTATGAGTAAAAAGTGACTCTCCGGTACAATCCCATCACCTCTCTAACAAGGCCACACTTCTGTGCCCCACCCTCTCCTGACCTCCCCCAGTCTAATGATCATCTCTACTGTTGTTACTCCGTTCATACCTCCCTTCCCCACCAGCCCGCAAGATCTGCAAACACAGGATTGCTGCTGTCACCTACTCTATGACACACCATCCTAAAGCTTAGTGGTGTAGAACACCAGCTCATCATTTCCCAGGATTCTGTGGTTTACCAGTTCCTTTGCAGGTTTCCAAAGACCTTGTCCTTGAGGCGTCCCTCAGGTGGAGAGCAGGTTGGATTGCATCGCTCAGATAGACCTCCTCACATGTCTGACAGCGGTGCCTCTGTCAACTTGGCATACCATGACAATGTTCATGTCCTTCCATCCTCCAGCAAACTAGACAAACATCCTATGCAGTGTCCCTAGGAAACAAGGCAGAAACCGCAAGACCTCTTTAGAAACAGCACGTAGAAGGCACACACCACACTCTGTTGATCAGTGAGCATTTATGAGACCATCTCAGACTAACAATGTGACGAGACTCCCACTTCGTGTCCTCTGGGATAAGAATTGTTGAGTGGTCTGTCACATCTCTGTTTGGGGCACAACATGTTCACATATGTCTGAAATGAGAAGTGGTCTTACTCCTGTCTGTGACCCCAAACCTTATCCCAATGATCACATCAGGCTTGAAGTCCAGATGTCTTGAAGGTTCTGAGAGTGGGACTCCTTCAGTTCAAACATCAGCCCACCAGTAACGGTCTATTGTCCACATTCCCCCATGTCTGAATCTCAGCAGTGGTGTGAGAACAGAATAGCCATGGCTGACGGTCTTGTCCAGGCGGATCGAGAGGCAATCCAGCCACAGAGCACAGCGCTTCAGAAAGCCGCTTCTCCCGTGTCATCAGGCCCTGCTCTGAGGAGGTTTGACCCTGCCTCCTCCCGGCGCCTCAGCTGCTCCCAGTTTCCTTGCCTCTTTCTCAGCGCCTGAGAACCCTTCCTTTTCCTAAGAAATGGTTCACGTCTAAAAGGAGTAGCTTTTCCAGTCTGCTCCCTGTCTACAGGACACTTGAGTCGCAGGGATTCTTTTATTTAAAACTGTCCTCCCATGTCAAGCTCATGGTGACCTGTGACATGATATCTCAAAAGGTCTCTATGAAAAGTCCATTTCATGTTTTGAAAACTATACCCTTAGCTATTTCCCAAACAGGCTTCCTGTGTGTCTCCTAATCCTCTGAGATGCTCTTTTCTTTTTTGGTTCTTTTTTTGTTTGTTTGTTTTTCAAGACAGGGTTTCTCTGTAGCTGTGGAGGCTGTCCTGGAACTAGCTCTTCAACCAGGCTGGTCTTGAACTCACGGAGAACTGCCTCCCAAGTGCTGGGATTAAAGGTGTGTGCCACCACTGCCCAGCGGGAAGATGCTTTCTAGGAGTCTTTGAAATCCCAAAGGTTGCTTTTTAAATATGTTTGAGCTCCCAATAAAGGGCAGTGCAGGGCAGCCTTAACCCCTGGCTTGATCTTTATCCCTAACCATGTCTCTCTGTGAGACCCCAGGTGTCTAGAAAGAACAAAAGACTGAGGTTTTATTTTCCTACGCAGCACATCCTGAGATCTTTATTTTTCTCTAAACTCTGCTTGTAGCTCACTCTTTCTATTCCTTCCTCCCCACACCTCATCATCTGCAGCTTTCAAGGCTGTCGATATCTCTTCTTCCATCAGGAGGCCACCTGAGCAGTGGCTCCAGGTTCACTTGGCAGTGTCTGTTCTACGTTACTGCAGGGACCATGTTCGCAGCTGCCCTGAATCACCAGGCTGGCCTTTCTCTGCCCCAGCAATTCACCCCTGATCTCCTGGCTTCGCTACCGTTCTTCCCTGCCCCGCAGTTCCTGCCCGGCCAGTCTCAAGTCAATGCTGGGGTCTCTGTCAGGACAGCACCTCTCTTCCCGAGGGTTCTTTCTATGTTGGTGATGGTTTGTGGCATAAAAGACTACCCCAAAACCAAGTAACTTACAAGAGCAATTCACTGTTTCTCAAAGTGCTGTGAATCGACCGGGCAGTCCCTGGCTGGGTGGCCTGAGCTCGCTCATGTGGCTGTTTGCTGTCTCCCTGTAAGCATGTGATCGGAGTGTCTCTTCACCCATTATGTGTCAGGCCCTGCGAGGGCAGTGATAAGGGCAGGTGTCAAGGAGCTTTGTCTATTTCACTGTCCAGCAGTAAGCAGCAGGTGCTGTGGCCGCACACTCCACCAGCTCCGCCATTCCCGCCCCTTTGCCACCCCACCCCATGGGAAACAGGTGCTGTGGCCGCACACTCCACCAGCTCCGCCATTCCCGCCCCTTTGCCACCCCACCCCATGGGAAACATGCTCTTACTCCTGGCCTGTGTTCTCTGTTTATTTTGCACAAGTGAAGAGATACAGGAGAAGCATACACGCATGTACATGTGCACATACACACAGACGCTTACATAAAACTCTCTATAACAAGCAGCATGTTCTTCTACACTTGAGAACACTTATGACTGGTGAGGTGGACCACCAGGGAGCAGCTTGCACGTCTGAAGAGACGGGGCTGACGCATGCCTCCACTGAGGACGGCGGGAATGCAGAGCCAAACGATCCCATCCATAGGATGTGCTGAGGAGCCAGCCAGGCAGAATAGGAAGAACCAAGACTCAGGAGGCGCTGGTGGAAGGCATTGGGTTATAATAATAAGCCTCTGTGTGCAATGTACTTAGGAGCTCGGTGGTGGGCTCCTCCAATAAGCCACAAGAGTAAAACATCAAACAGCTCTCTCTCTCTCTCTCTCTCTCTCTCTCTCTCTCTCTCTCTCTCTCTCTCTCTCTCTCTCTCTCTCTCTCTCTCTCTGTCTCTCTCTCTCTCTCTCTAATTCACTTTTTTCAGGCAGACCTTTTTGCATATTTTTAATCTCATGTGTGTTTACCAAACTTCTGGGAGGCCTCATCATGCCATGTGTACATTAATTGTTGTTCAAGATAGACTATGCCCTCATGTGTTTTATAATTCTGGACCATGATATCATCTTCAGAAGACCCCCTCTGTCTGTGCTTAGTTAAGGACATGCCACACAAAAGCAATATTGTATATGCTTTTGTGGGACATCCTGGAATACCTCATCCTGAGACCAGTTTGCATATTAATGCGTCCTATAGTTAAGAAATACACACCAAACCCACTTGGAATACAGAGTGGCTCAGGTTCATGAAGAGACTCTCCCATGCAGAGTCCAAGTTGAGACATGGGGTCCTCATCTCCTGGGCCTGGCGAGCACACTTTAGTGTAGATTTCTGCTTCCCAAGGGTAGAGCCTTTTGGTAGGCCCTGGCTTCTTGCGGGGTCGTCATTTAGCATCCCACCCACAAGGCTTTGTTTTATCTAATAAGACCCCTTACTGTTCCGCTGCGTGGGTTCCCTTCACATCCTCGTCATTCTGCCTTTCAAATTTTTCTTTTAGGCATCCAGAGTCCCTTTGGTTTTTGGAAGGCAAGAGGGTTCCTTTAGAAGGATGTTCCTGCTATTTTAGATGGCATTCTAGAGACTGACAGAACGCTTCCTGGCTGCCTAACCCATCAGATTGCTAGAAAGAAAAGTCGAGAAGCTCTGTTGTGTGTTATTGTGTCCCTGTTACACTGCCATGGTTACTGTGATTCTACCTAAAGTGCCTGCATCTCTCGTGTGAACAGATGACTAGAACTGCCCTCACACGAAAGTCTTAGACACTGACTTATTCTTTTTCCTTGTCTACCCAAGAAACACCCAGTGAACCCTGCAGACGCCCCTCTGCCTGTGTGCCCGTCAGAGCGTGTGAAGGCGGTGATGGCTGCAGGCATCGGGGAGCATCCTCTGTGGAGAAGTGCAGAGGTGAGACCAATGGCAAGCACCAGTGTGAGGAGGGACCAAGCAGGGCCCGGCAGCCCTTGTCCTTTGGGTCAGCCCACCCTGCAGAGAGAGGAGAGGACTCCAGCCCTGCAAGTGCTTCCCAGCAGGACAGCCCCAGGAAGCCTCGCAGGAGGCAGGACAGGGCCCCCAGGCCCGGAGGTGCTTCCCAGAAACGATGCGTGCACCAGCTCAGAGACAGGTGCTCCCCAGCTGGGTCCAGCCGGCCTGGCAGTGCCAGGGGAGACCTTGCCTGTGCTGAACAGAGCCCTCTCCACCATCGCACACCAAGAACCAAGGTGACCCAGCACAAGCTTATAGGAGGGGTCTCCTCAGATTTGCCACCCAGCACAGAAGAGTTGAGGTCAGGATGCAAAATGCTGTGTGCGGACGTTCGGGCATCTACGGAGAGTGATGTGGTCCATAGCCCCCCGCCTGGACAGACTGTGAACATTCACCTTCTTCCTGTAGAGCAGCGCCTGCAGATAATCCAGAGGGAGCGAACTAGGAAAGAGCTGTTTCGAAGAAAGAACAAGGCAGCAGCTGTCATCCAGCGAGCCTGGCGAAGGTAAGAGGGCGGGGCCTGCAGTCCTGCTGCAGTGACACCCTGAGCTGTCTGCTGTGTCCAGTGAGCTCCCTGCTCAGGGTGTGACTGCATGGAGCCTTCCCAAGAGATGTTTGCCTCCCTCTTGAGCACATACAGTGGGTTAAGAAAAACGGAAGACTCCTCTGTACAGGAGCAGTGTAGAAAAGCCCTGGTTGGCCCAGTTTCCCATGCAGCTCTGATGTCACACAAATCACTGGGCCTCCTTGACCCCCTCTTTCCCATTTGTAAGGCGGGATCTACCAACCCTTGCCCTGAGGCCGCTGCGATGAGGCAGAGTCTGCTGTTTGAACCCTGATGTGCCATATGTACACTCTCTTTTCCATTTTTTAAATTTATTTTTTATGTGCATTGGTGTTTTGCCTACATGTACGTCTGTGTGAGGGTGTTGGGTCCCCTGGAACTGGAGTTACAGTTGTGAGCCGCTCTGTGGGTGCTGGGAGTCGAACCCCAGTCCTCTAGAAGATCAGTCAGTGTTCTTAATCACCGACTCCAGGATCTCTTTTTAAAAATATAACATGTATTGTGTGTGTGCGTGCGTGCGTGCGTGCGTGCATGTAGGTCAAAGGACAGCTTGCAGGAACTGGTTCTCTCCTTCTATTGTGTGGGTCCCAGGAATCAAGCACAGGTCACTGGATTCGTCTTTGTGTCGGGTGCCTTTCCCAGTCACCTCACTGGACCCACACGAGATTTTTTTTTAATCACTAACCTAGGAACTAGTCATGCTCCAATGGTCTAAACCAGCGCTCGGGTGGATGTACACGATCAGTGCCTGAAGGACATCGGCCCTTTTGAGCCACTGTCACACAGACTGGGTTGAGGCCTAACAGTTGGGGGGGGGGCTGTGTTGTAGGACTGAGACAGTGTGCGGAGCCTGACACCCACCTCTAGAGTAGGGACAGGATTTTCTGTAACCCTATCCGTGTTGTAGGACTGAGACAGTGTGCGGAGCCTGACACCCACCTCTAGAGTAGGGACAGGATTTTCTGTAACCCTATCTATCCTTCACACTGTAGTCTCCACTCTATCCTAGGTGACAACACAGGAGTTCCGTGGCCTCTAACGCTGGGGCGATGGTGACAACACAGTAAGTCACTGGGAACTCCAGGTGCTGTATGTCACAGACCACTAGGGAAAAGAAGGGACCTAGAAGACTAGCAGGGAGCAGAGTGACCAACCTAGAGACTCTGGGGACACTCTACCAAAGGCCACACAGCCCAGAGCCAGGCCATCCAGTTTTTGTTCATCCAGCCTTTGAATAACATGCCCGTATGTCTCTTCCCACCGTTCAAGCTCCTGGAGTCCCAGCCACCATGGAGGCTGTCAAGACAAGGATCAGAGTCCTGTGTTCTTAGACGCAGACATTCAGGGAAATGACTTGTGCCTATAGTAACATTGAGCCTTTGACTGGTCCACATCCTAGGGCCTTCCTTCCATGACTAGTGTGTCTGCTGCAGTCATGATGATGGGGTAGATGGAGATGCCTTGTTGTAGATCTGAAGTGGGAGAAAGGGGACCTGGTACACGCCAGGAGACAGGTCTACGTCAGCTGCTGCAATGGCTGCCGTTGCCAATAGTAGTCCGCATTTATTGGGCCAGATCCTTATAGCACTGTGAAGTAGGTCTGTCTTCAGCCCATCCCAGATTGGGAAACCAAGGCACAGGAGATTCATCGGCTTTCCAACATTCCAGGGTGAGAAGGTTGGGGGACTGACTTTAAGGTGGCCACCCCCAGCCAAGTCCCAGGTGGGAATGGCCACTATCCCTCCCCTTGGGGATTGATGCCCACACACACACTGGCCACCAGCCAGGCAAAGTTTGCATTAAGCATCTGTGCTGAAAACAGCCGGGCTCACCCTTCAGGCCCCACAGCTGCTCCCTAGCAGAAAGGTCTGGCCTCAGACTGTCTGCTCTCAGACTCCTTTGAAGCAGCAGAGGTTGACAGGTCCTGTCACTAAGTGTCCAGAGTAAATGAGCCCCAAGTCATTCCCTCAGGAGCGGTGACTCACAGTGCACGCCCACCTGGGCAGGTGATCACGCAGGTCTGCTTGGGATGCGCCATCGTGCGGATCTGAGGTGGACATCAGTGCTCAAAGGGCCCACGGGCAGCCACACTGAGTGATGGTTTCAGCTGTTCTCTGCTTATCTGCAGAAGCCCAAAGCACTGTCTTTGCACAGTGCCTGGCACCAAGCCCAGGGGCAATGAAGGGGGAGGGGACAGGCCTTGACACTCTTGTTCATGAAATGCTGGCATCTTTGTGGGGACATGTCCAGCAAAGAGCTAGAGCACAGGGAGAGGAGAAGATGGGACTTTACGGCCCAAAAAGAAAAATGAGTCTTAAATTTGTAATTTTATTAACATTTAAGTGGTGAGTTTTTAGGGGTGTTTTTATATGTATGGGGGGAGGCAGCTCTTCCTCCATCATTTTCTGAAAATGCCGTCTCTACCTGTGGAGCAGGGGTTAGACTTGCGGGCATTTACATGGGTGGGGATCCAAACTGCAGTCCTCATGCTTGTGAGGCAAGTACTTTACCTGTGAGCCACCTCCTCAGCCCTCAGTAACCACCTGAGTATTTTAAACATGAAAGCTGCATAGTGCACAAGCGAAGCTCAAGAGCAGCTCTGGAAAATCACTTGATTTTTAATGACACACAGAGCTAACCCTTACTAGCATTTCTCCAGCACATGACAGATACGAGTTAGCAGCAGGCTAGACAGTAGGAAAAACCTACAGCCTGTGGTTGAACAGCACTATGGAATACAACAGTTAACCCCAAGCAGGGGTGTGTTCTTGAAAATCGGAGCAAGGACCTGTTCCTCTGCCTTAGGACCAAGACCCTCCTCACACACAGCCTGTCTGCATGCCATCCCATACGTGTGACTGAGTGTTCACTTGCAGACTGAAAGCCTCAGGTCCCTAGTCAACACCGGGCTTCCTGGTAAGCTCTGCCTACAGAGCAGAGGACGGAAGGAATTGCTTGTTAAAGTGTGGTACTACTCTAGTCAAGAGGTGCTGTGGTTTATTACTCACTGGGAAGAATCATGAAGGCTGAAGTCAGCTTTTGAGGAAGCAGAAGAGGCTACCCCAAGCCCAGCAGGGAGGATTTTAGCAGTTAAGAAGGTTACCCCATCTCTGGAATATTGTCACACAGGCATGGGGCTGCCTGGTCTCCTGTCAGCTCAGCAGTCATAGTTAATGAGTACAGATAAAGAACAGTGATGAAACTCTTCTTTAAAGAATTCAAGACGGTCATCATTCCTCCACAGGCTTCACTTCCCCGCAGGGTCAATAGTAAACTCGCCATCCTCTTTCCCTGTGTATCCACTGTGAACAGAGCACACCTGTCAGCAGAGCTAGGCTACAAAATCCTGGCTCTGGTGTCACCTCACTAAGACGCTTAGTCCTTACACATGTCCTAATATGTGCCTCCCCAGGACTCAAGCCATAGGACAGTGCCTGGACTATAACACGATTTGGCTTCTTACAGTGTAGAAGCTAATCAAGCTAACATTTTTGGGGGCGCAAATGCCCCATTTATGCTTGTGCCAATTCTGCTGCCTAGAGTGCCTTTCTCTGCCTAGTAGGCACCTACTTCCCCTTTGAGGACCAAGCAGCCCTGGGAAGCCTCCCCAGCACCCAGCACCCAGCTCCCAGCTCCCAGCTCCTGGCTTGCCTGTCACCTCGCTCAGTACTGCTTTCCGCCTTAGCCCATCCCTCCTGCCCGTGGCTGCTGAAGGTGACTTATCCAGTTATCCTCGTCCAAGTCTCGCAGTATTCAACACAAACGCCGAAACTGGGACGGAACCTTGTAAGCACTGCAGAGTCTTACAGCCTGTCCTCTGTGACCCCACCAGATACCAGCTCAGGAAGCATCTGTCTCGTCTTCTGCACGTGAAGCAGCTGGGAGCCGGAGACGTGCTCAGACGTAGCCGAGTGTGCACAGCCCTACTCCTCCAGGTCTGGAGGACACAAGAGGAACTCAAGTTCCCAAAGTCCATCTCCGTCAGCAGAGTGCCCAAAAGTTCACCCAAAGGCATGTTAGCCACAAAGTCTGCCAGGCACTCTGTGCTCAGGAGGATCTACGGTAAGTATTCTTCTGGGTACTGTGGCAAGGATCCTGAGTGGCACACCACAATCTGCAATAAGACTAATAAGACTTAACTGGACAACTCCCCATCCAGATTTTTAAAAATTTCTTTACTTTCAAACACCAGATCTTCACTAGTCAATGTAATACCCTACTTCCAGGCAAGAGCCCCTCCTCTTAGTTCCAAGACCAAAAGCCTCACCATTAAACTTCTCAGACCTCTGCTTGAGCCCTCCCCTTACATGAACCCAGGGGACTCAGACCCTGGGTCCCTTTAACTGTCCTGTGCTGAAAGTGTCATCTATGCAGACACCCACAACTCAGTCACTGCAGTATTAAGAGATGAGTGGCTGGAACCTGAAATATCCCCAGCTCTACAAAAGGCCCTCAGAGTAAACCAGCAGTTCATAGTACATAGTTTGGAAGGCTGCTCAACAGAGAAACCCAGAGCCCAGGTACCTTTAGGAACATCCCTTGCTGTTTAGACAGCATTTCAAAAATCGTCCATTCCCAGGCTACCATGTCTGTGATAGTTAGGTTTCGATTCTGAATAATTTCAGCTTTTGGATTTTTGGATTAGAGATACTCAGCCAGAACCAAACAAACCAACCCAAACTAGAAACAAACCCTCCAAAATCTGAAGCATTTCTGGTCCCACACTTTTCAGATAAAGGGCATCAACCTGTTTCCATGCATGCCTAACTCATCTTGGCAGGCGCCTGCAGCCTCGCCTCAGTGAGGGACTCAGAACTTGGTCGGGTCACAGCAGCCATTAATCACATAGGGGCTTGTTGGTTGATCGCAGGTGGCTCTCAAGAAGGGAAAGTCTACCACACCATCACACCCTCCAGAGGCCCGCCTGTGCTGTGTCCCAAGTCAGGTAAGGCAGTCACTACACTGGCAGAGCACACGGGGGAGCAAGGGATGAGTTTCCCATGATCCTCTGACTGGTCGGGTATCTTTTTACCCCTTTTGTTACTGCCATCAACATCTTTAAGATGCAAATAACTGCCACAACTAACAACTGTGACTAATCTCCAGCAGAAACAATAAATGGTAGTTACCTATTGATCCCTTTTATTACATTCCTCACATTGGAATGCTTTTTTCAATGCCCTCCCCTTACCATGGATGGAAGACCACAAACATAAAAGCGCATTCGGCTCAGGCTCAGTTTCACCCACAGGAGCAGCACGGGAACTTCATTTCCCTCACCAGACCAGACCAGACCAGACATTCGAGTTTTACTCGGGCCCTCTTCCTTCACACCAGCATTAGTGATAAGTTCAGGGCTGTCAGCAGCTAATGCCAGGCCTGGCCTATCTTCACAGGTGGCTATGGCAACATGCTCCCCCACCCTCCCTGATCCACAGGGCCATCCTGCAGAAACAGAGTAGCCGGGAAGGTGAACAATGACTGTCAGCATGAACTTTAGCATTCATTTAGGTTTTGGTGAGGAAAAGCAAAGTAATTACTGCAAACTCTTTAATAAGAGATGGCTAACTCATGTAACACAAGGCAGACTGATCAGGGAGCAACAGGTGGGGTGGTTAGAAACTTTCAAATCAATCAAGGGCCACAGTTGTGTGGCAAGACTGTCCTTCTACTGGACCGGAGAAACATTTCAGAGAAAGAACTGTCATAAGAAACTACCAGATATATGACATTTAGATATAATAAAATACAAAGTAGGCAATCAGATCATTCTCCCCTCAAAGCTAGATTTACCACTGGATTTTTACCTTAAAAATGAAGACGTCTGGCAGCATAGAAGTTCTTGGAGACAAGATTGAGTAAATGCATTCAAAGAAACAATACTTTTTAATGACTTCATATAAGCAGCAACATGTTTTTCTTGTGATGGTTTGAAATCAAACAAAGCACAATCTTTGTCTCCAGATTTGGAGCAACACAGGTTGTTAAGCCCAACCACACCCACATTAAGCACAAAATACTTCATAAAGCCAGTCAGATAGGTGCTAAAGTTTAACTGGTCTGTTCATGCTTAACAGAAAACATGTCCACAAATCTTGTCAATGAATTGAACTTACCTAGAAGGCCCTAACATGGAATCAGACAGTTGACCATAAAGGAAAACATTAACTTTACTGAGTTGTTAGTTTGCTTTTTGCGGTGGCGCTGAGAATTTTCTGATTTTGCTCAGCAGGCTATTTAATTTTTTAAGATTGTTTTGCAGTGTACAGTCTGGGGAAGCCCCCTAAGGCTTTACACACAGAAAGGCAGAAAGGGATGGCGATCCCAAGGAGCAGCCCCCCTGACTCCTGCTGTGTGCATGAAACCCAAAGCCAAAAGCACTCTGCTTCCGGCAACCTTCCACACCTTCACCGTCACTCGCGCCATTTCAGCCGAGCTCTGTGCTGACACGGCCACCTGTGCCCACGTCCTTCAGATAGAGCTCCCCCAGCAAGAGGGGTGGGCGTGGAGGGGACGCAGATGACAGCTCACGTCACGATCCAAAACCAGTCAGTTAAACTGGGGAAATTAACCTGCTCCTTCTCCCAACTGCCCACATTTCATTCCCTTTTATCTCCCACATGAAGTTGTGAGTAAACTACAGTAACATCTTCAGCAACATGTTCCTGCCTGCCATTTTTGTGGCCTGTCATTGTCATGGTGTATAAAACCAATGTTTTCTGTAGCATCCTAATAATGTTATTCCAAGGTTTAAGCCTCAATACATCGATTTTGAAGCCAAGCAGAGTCTGGAATTCCAACTATCAGGAGATTGAGGCAGGAGGGTTATGAGTTCAAAGGTAGCCTAGGCTACATACTAAGCATCTCATAGGAAAAAAGTTTAAGTTCCTATCTGTCATCCCTTCAAACTCTTGAGATAAACACACTTATTTTTTCCTGGTATATTTACACGGTATGTGGCAGAAGAATTCACAGATGTGTATAGATGACATGTGTGCCATGTGAGACATGCAGAGGATTGGCCTATTAGCATGTCCTGCCTACCCAAGATCTAGCTTCCACTCAGAGCCCCGGTCCAGTCCCTGCTTTACTGAGATACCCACATTAGTGAGGTGAGGAGGAACTGCAGTCTGCATCTAGGTCATCACCACCTTCCCTGGCTCCAGGGTTAGCCCCATCCCAAGTCCTTTTCCTTAGCACAAAGGTCGCCTCTCTTTAGTAAGATCAATGATATAAATACCCATTGCTTTTAACAGTGAACAGTTTGCAGTCTATACATCTTGACAACAGTGCAAGATCAAAGAAGTTTTCTTACAACCTCCAACCAGCCAGCCAATCAAAAAGCAAGCCGAAGCTTTGACCCTGGGAAAAGGCAGAACCAGTGTGGAGCACTGCACTCTGTCAGCTGTCTCTGACTCGTGAGAAAGCTTTACCGTCCGTACCTAAAGCCTTACTGTCAGGAATCTGAGGCAGAACTCAAGACGATGTCTGGTGTTTCCACAGGGTGAAAGGACGGGAGCAGACTCTGCTCGTGTGGCTGCCTCGCTGTGTGCGTCACCTCCGTCAGTGTGGCTGCAAGTGAGAACCAGCACACCTGCATGGAAGGCTGCTGGCTGGGTCTCTCAGTTAACGGGCGCCGGCCTCGTTTCTTCACTCTAGAGAACCTCAGTGAGATGGGAAATCCGTGCCACAGCAGCCACCTTCAACTCCCTACGTTTAGAGACGCTCAGAAGACTGAAAGTACACTGTTGATCCTTAGTTCTGTTTCCAGATGGACCCTGGAGGGCTAAAAGCTGCAGCACAGGAAGCAAGTGTTCACCTTGACGTTTAGTTTAGAAAATGATATTCCAAATTATAAAAACAGGCTTACCTAGATGTGTCCACAGAGATTCAGCTAATTCGTTAAATGAATGAAGGCACCATAGATCACTATATGTACTGTAAACACCTAGCTCTTAGGAAATTCAAAATGTGCTAGTCTAGACAATGTAATGTGAGAGCACCAAGACCTCTTGGGCCTGATTATCTCACTTCAGTACAAAGGTAGCTCATGAACAACTTCTTTCAAAGTTTAGTTTTAATGACAAACATCTATTACATCAGTCTCTCTTCAAAATAAAATGGATGTGCATGAACAATTTCAAACAGGAGGTGTACCACGATGCTTCTTCAATACAATGCATTCAATATACTAGGCCCCTGGGGGTGGCCACTGATGTACACGCTGAAGCAGTAATGTAAGTCTGTAAGCCACTGTTCCTGAACACTGCCACTCCTCAAAGTCTGCAGAAAAAAAGAAAAGGAAATTTAAATTGAGAACGGTACTACCTGAGCACATTTTTCATGGCCTATATAAAAGTATCCTCCCCGCCAGGCAGTGGTGGCGCATGCCTTTAATCCCAACACTTGGGAGGCAGAAAGATCTCAGTGAGTTTGAGGCTAGCCTGGTCTACACAGCAAGTTCCAGGACAGGCAGGATGGGGGTGCATGCACGTGCGCGCACGCACACACACACACACACACACACACACACACACACACACACACACACACACACACACCATTCCTCCAGAGAAACCAGAGAGCGTCATCTTAAAACAGAAAGCAATCAACTATTGGGCGCTGCTCCAGCTGGTGAAAATTCCTCTTTATGTCCTTATAGGTTGAATTATGAACTGGCCCCCACCAGCTCAGATGTTTGAATAATTGGTACCCACCTAGTATTGCTGTTTTGGAAGGTAAGAATTTGTACTCTGAGCCTACTTCTGGTCTATGCTCCCTACTTCCTGACCCATTGGAATGTAAACCCTTCCTAGCACACTGCCAGACGCACCCCAGCCACAGTGCTTACCCCATGGTAATAGACTATGCACTCCTAAATGTCAAATAAAGTCTTTTCTTTTAAATTAGATCTGTTATTTGGTCAGTGTGACAAGAAAAACAATATGTGCCCTTAAGTGTAATGAGTTCTTATTGCTACAGACTAACACCGATTTTTATGGCCAACCATCTCTTCTACCCTTGTCCCTTCCTTCCCCTTGGCATTAGCTTTTTTTTTTTCACTAATGTCAACAACTAATGGGTCCTACAGAGCCAACTGGGTAGATTCTCTAATCCAAGTTACTGACTTTTCTTCCCTTCTACTGTTCTGAATTATCTCACTGCCATTCTCCACTGTTTCTACAAAAAGCAAGTACCTATTAGCATGCTTACACAAACTCCATGATACTGGACTACAATTACACTCAGTGAACAACCCTAAGTCACCTATGCAGTGTCTCTCTCTTTCACTACTAAGGAGTCCTACAGAACAAACGACCCTCCCAAGACTCTTGCCAGGTGGTCTCCCACGTTCTCCTTTTCCTTCCATCACTGTCCTTTCTCTCTGGTATTGACCAAAGCCTGTGTGCCCTCCTGACCTGCCGGGCCTTCTCACTTACTCTGACACTATCACGGCTTATCCCTTCTGCCATGTGTGCTCGAGGCTGAAGCTGCCAGCTTCCTCAGACCCTTAACTAAAAGGCAGGACTTCCACAGAGCTGCCAAGATTTACAGCTCACCTACACAGTTGTTTTCCTCTCAACGGTAATGAAATTGTCCCTGACCTTTAGAAAACTTTTTTTTCTTAATGATGCCAAACATTTGGGCAGCACTTATGAGGTACACTAAACAGATTACTTATTTAACAGTCACCAAAACCTGCATTAGTCCTACCTTAACAGAAAGAAAAACAACTCCTGACTATAGACAAATTGGGAATTGCCATCAGCTACTCAAAAAAGTTATCTCTAGACCCTAAATCTCCAGCTGAACTTCTCCTGCCCCCATCTTCTTGAGGATTTTAAGACACAGTTTTAAAAGACTGGATCTGAATCAGAGACAAGGAAGGTGCTGGTGAACTCCAGAGTCAGTCAGCTGGCGCACAAGCCCACCCTATCAAGGACAAAGCCGTGGGCCCTGCGCAGCCTACCGTGATGTTCTTGATGATCTGCTGCACGAGGATGGCGTTGGTCAGCATATGCGGCCTCAAGGGAACGTGCTGCAGCAGCAGGCGGAGCAGCTGGCCCACAATGGGCAGCTCTTCAGGAGAAGCCCTGCTCACTCGCAGACTCTGCAGCATCAACCTGAGGACTCGAGGCAAGAGAGCCAGAATGGAGACACAAACGCCCCACAGCTTGTCCCTATAGAAGAGAAAGAAACCCGAGTCCGTGAGCCGAAACACAAGAGAAAGCGTCCTTTCCACATTACCCAAAACTGAAAAGGACTTTCAAGAAACAAACACGATGTTCCCAGCCCGATCTGACAGCTCAATCCCTGTAATTCTAGCTTTTCGGAGCTGAGTAGAAATGCCACTGAGTTTGAGTCCAGTCTAGGCTATATAAAGAGTTCAAGGAGAGCTGGACTACAGAGATCCTATCTCAATAAACAAAACTAATAAAGAAGCTTCATATTAAATACCACAAACCACAACTAGTAAGAATTAGGTTTCATCAGAACTAAGTAAGAAAAAGCAACTAAGAGTTAGCTGAGCCAGGCGGTGGTGGAGCACACCTTTAATCCCAGCACTCGAGAGGCAGAGGCAGATCTCTGTGGGTTGGAGACCAGCCTGGTCTATAGAGCAAGTTCCAGGACAGTCTCCACAGCCACAGAGAAACCCTGTCTTGAAAAACAAAAAAGTTGGCTGCCAGGTAAGCAGCATTTTCCTGGGCTTAAAACCAGACACCCTGGAAGTCACAGTGACCTCTCAACCACAGAGCTTGCCAGAAAACAAAACATGTATAATCATCACCTAACACTGGACACTACTCAATCACCATAGTGGAGGAGACATCTGAAGACTGCTGTACCCAGGAAAGAAAAGAAACATACATTGGGTCACAGAGGGTGAGCCATGGTCACATCTAGTCCTTAAACATTATTCTCTATACACTCATACAGCAGGAGCTAAGCAGACTCATGATAAATATGATCTGAGTGTACTAAATGACACAGTACCCATCTGGATGGTGAGTGTGGGGAGCAAGTGAAGTCCTGAGTGGATGAGTATGTATTGTTTGGGCACTGCCATATCAAGAACCACGATGCCTCAGTTCCGTGGACTGGCAAAGCCTTCCCCCGGTGTGGCTCAGCGGGATGGCAAAGCCTTCCTTGGATAGAGTGCAAATGTTGGCAGTGTATACAGAAAATATCCACTGTAGCTCCTCCCCTATTCCCTTCTCCCAAAGATGTTTATGGCCTGCAGACTGCTCCCTACAATTTTACCTAAACCCGTCTCTTTATTCATCTGTATGCAAACCCCTGCTACCCTGTTCACTGTATACAAACATGCTGAGCTTCCAGGGTGGTGTGGCTTCTCCATCTGAGAACTGGCCTACAGATCCCCGCTTTTCTCTACATGTGCCCTGGTCAGGTCAATCCCTGGAGCTGTGCAGCAAAAGGCTCCAACCTTCTTAGCTCTCTGACTATGAGCAAACCCTCACTTGCAGGACTGAATGCGAGCTACACAACAAATCCGTTTTAAATAAACAAAGTCAAGGTCTTAAGTAGCCCACGTCCTGACAGCAGATGTGGACAGCCATGTACAAGAACAATGTCAGGTGAGAAAGAAAAGAGGAAGCTGTGTTGGTTCCTGATAGACTTAATACCTGACCCTGGGGTCATGTGACAATGTGGCTGCACTCTGAGAAAGGTATTGTTAGATGATCTCATCGTGTGAACTCCACAGTACACAGCTTCCTAATATATCAAGAGATGGACTAAGCACAAGAAATTAACTATTAGATATTACACATAATTATACACGTTATATTTTGACATTCTATCTGGTTTTAATGTTTATGTGTCACTATGCCCTAAAACTCACTAAGCCATGCTGGCCTCAAACTTGCCCCCGCCTAACAGTGCTGAGATGATATTACACCCCACGCCTGGCTTATGCTGTACCTCTGCAAAACTAGCAGCACAGTAGGTCTGTCTGCACCAGCACCAACATACTACAATGACTACAAGCCACTACGTGACGCTCATCTCTCAGTTCCGTTACCCTCTTCTGTTTAACAGTCCTCACGAGCTGAAGCATCTCTAGCACATGGCTACTCACTTCATAATGCTAGTTTAAGTGAGCTTCAAGTAACTTTTAAATAGTGTCGGAACAAATGCTTCAAACCCTAGGTGTGGGAGGCAAGAATCTCAACCGGACTCCATATATAAGATGGGAAACAATGACAAGGAAAATGTGAAACTATCCTACAAGGAAGTCTCCATAAGATCTGAAAGATACACACTAAGAAAATTAGACAATGAAAGACACAGGATTTGCTCAGTCCTATAAAAGACAATTTCCAGAGTCCCTCTTACTCCTCATGTAAGAAAAATTTTCTGCCCCAGAATGAACAACAATTGATGAACTGACAGGAACTTTTCAGTAACATCAGCAACCACAAGCAAGAATGTCAAAACAGGAGAAAAACAAACAAGCAAAACCTGGCCAAGTAAATGCTCAATGAGAAGGTTAACTCAAAAGAATCAGACTGGAAGAGACACCTATGCTATGGTAAAACAAATCCTGAGTTACAACACAACAGGTCTTTGTCTTTAAGAGAAAACAAAGACACTTCTACCTACAAACCGAGTGATTAGGTCAGCAGCAGATCTTCATTAGGAACAAGTACCAAGTAAACAAAGAACAGCATCTTCAGGGCTCAGTGGCACATTGTGATGAGAACCTGGTCAAGCCTGACTTTTCAGCTAACATCTATGATATCAAAGATCTCCGTGAGTCTGAGACAAGCTCAGTCTATACAGCCAGTTCCAGGCCAGCCAGGGCACAAAGACAGGCTGCTAAAACAAATAAAGAGGTGCTTTTAAAAGGAAACACGTATTACACACTTCGGCCAGTCTAGTCACATAAAGCCAAAGATGTTCCTTTTTTAAAAGCTCCAAAAGTCTTATATTTCAAGTGACAGAAAATAACAAATAGCAGTATTAACGTCTTAAGTGGAGATGTTATAAAACCTTAGCTAACATCAGAAATGTCAAATAAATACAAATAGTGCAATGGACAAGCTCTGGCATGTTCATAGGACAGAATATTATGGATCAAAGTAACTGCACAGCAGGCCAGCCCCAGACCACAGCCTGTATTTGTAAGCCATGTTCTACTAGGACAGCTACATTCATTTATTTGTATTTTCTATGCTGCTTTCACACTATACAGAAGTGTTGAATTGGTCCTGAAAACTTGAATTGTTTACTGTCTAATCCATTAAGGAACTTTGCTGACTCTTGCCTTAGTACAGAGAAATGTGAGTAAAATAGAACTAAATGAATCAACACAAAGGAATCACAAATACTGATGCCAAAAAAAAAAAACCAAAAATAAGAACAGGATCATCCTTACCAAGTTCACAAACATAAAGAACAGAATTAATACTGTTGACAAATGCATACAGAACCATCTACTTAAAAAGCCAGAATACCAACCAACACTACAGTGACTGAGGTAACAGAACTCCAGTGTGTGTTGTGTGCCGATGGTGTGGGTCTGTACATATATCCAGGAATTTATTACATAGATGGCTCAGTTCTTAATTACTGTTTTAAGCCATGAAATTTATATAGCCGGCATACATACTACATTTTTAGGACATTTAAAAAGCTCAAACTAAAATTAAAAAAAAAAAAAAAGGAAAAAAGGCTCAGAGCAAGACGGTGTGTGCCTGTAATGCTAGCACTTGTTCAAGATTCTGAGACTGAGGTCAGCAAGACATCTCCCAAAACAATTGATAAATCGGTAGACCAACAGAGCAAGCCAACAACAGCCATAACAAACAAAGATGTTCAAAGAAAGACCAGGAAGTACACTTTTCTATCTGCTCACCTGTCAGTTTCTTCCCCTAAGTCAACAGGT